GTTTGTTTCAGCGAAAAGATTTTCGCTTAAAAATTTAAGAACTGATAAATAATTATTAACTCCAATTCATTTAAGTTTTTTAAATAACGTCCACCTATATTTATAAAAAGATATATAAAATAATAATAATCATCAATCACTTCTTCAAACGATGTAGGCGAATTTTTTTCCTCCGTCAGTTGTCTTCGAATAACGCAGTTCTCGATACCAGAATTGCTGCAACATTTAGAGGAATTTATCATGTTACTAGAACGCCATAATGAAGAATGAAATAAGTAAGCATACAATAAAGTGATATTCGAATACAGTACATGTAGTGAGGCGATCACAGTGAATGGTTAGCGTACGGCCTCACGATGCATCGTTTAGGCTAACTGAACCGTAAACGTATAAAATAACTATGGATAGCTCAGGGGCGGATCCAGGATTATTTGAAGGGGGTCTGCGGATGCAAAGCAACCCCCCCCCCCTGTATAAAAAAATCCAATAAACTTACAACTACTTTTTATTGTACACATGATAATCACACGTGTCATCAATTTAAAACAACCGTTGTTATTCACACAAACAAACGATACAGTAGTCCTTTCTTAGAATGTCATTAGTTGCAAAGTCAAATGAGAAAATATCAGTTTTTTTTTTCTTTTCAAACAATTATAATCTATAAAATAGAAAAGATGCCAGTAATGTGCATGTTGTCTTTCTGTTAGATACAAGGCAGTGTTGGTATATAAAAGCCCTTGTCATCCGCCTGATCCAATTTAAACCTCGGAAAGAGGTTCATCAACATCTTCTTTTAGTCCTAACTCCTTGAGAAAAGCTGACTCTTCCTCTAAAAATGCTATTGCTGCTTCATATCGTAATGATTTTCCTCTTCTGTAAGTTCCACATTTGGTGCAATCTGAAACATAACACATAAGACGATTGTATGAAGCATGGACCTAATGAGAGAAGGTTCTCTCATTAGGTCCATGTATGAAGCTTCAAAATTTTCGAAGATTTTCAAAAATCAGCTGTGATATCCAGAGGCCAAACACCAACTGGTCAGCAGTTGGCCGCATGCTTCACCGGATTTCATTTGTCTACATTTGTGAATGTACACGTAATTAAAGGAAAATAACTTAAATGACATATTCTATGATTCACTTAGAATTTTATTATATTGATTTTAATAGCACAAATTCAAATCATCTTTAGTTTTGTGCTCTTAAATTTAAATGAAAAAATGTTTATTTTTAAAACATATAAACCACTTCTATGGTAACTTTTTTCCATTGATTTCGGAAACTTTTTTTTTTTTTGTAATACTAATGTCTGATAAACCTCCCAACTTTGTTTGCAGCGTCATTTAGATTGTGTTCCACCGGCCTCGTTACAGAGATGAACATCACTTCCGGCCAGTTTATAACTCAAGGCAATCTAATTTGCATATAAGAGAAAAATCCATTTTTTTTTTCTTGGTTTTGAGTTGTATGCACATTTTCCATTCCCCATTAAAAGCAATTTCCCTTCTGCTAAAAAATCCTCGAAAGACTCGATCGACACGCGCTGTTTATTAATCAAATCAACATAAATAACTTTCGTATCACAGACGTGAATCACGTTTTCACGCCCAAGTAATAAAATTGTTAAATAGCGCCGATAACTGCACTTGCCCAAAGTAGGTCAATTGCCTGTATAAAAATCCCATACGATTATCGATTTTTTGGGTAAGGACGGTTTTGGGGGGAGGCAGGAAAGAAAAAATCGTCAAGATGCCAGCAAAATATTTGGGACTCTTCGAACCACTTAAAAGCAGAGTATATTGAAAACTTTTTAAAGGGATAAAAACTAATTGACTTCTTTAGTTATGCGACGTAAAACTTGGCAGAAATTATAACAGAAGCTATATTTCATCTGTTTCTCCCTAAAATGTTGCAGACCGCGTAAACTATTTAGCTGTCGAGAATATGATTCAGCACACGATAGTGTTGAAGGAGTACGGGTCAGAGTGGTTTGGATATAGGGAGGGGGGAGGTTACTCACGTCACTTTTTCCAGCCACTTCAGTCTTAAGAGCGGGAAGTAAGGAATATATATGAAATAAATCTTAAAATTTTATATGTTTACAGTAGAAATATTTTTTTTTAAATACCACGAGAAGAAGTATTTGGTTGAAGTTTCACTTGATTTTTTTTTTTTTTTTTTTTTCTTTAGAAGTGCCACGTACTCTTGTNTTTTTTTTTTTTGCTATTTTAATACATTAAAATGTACGTCCACGATACTGGGTAACGAAATTGGGACATGGGAAACATGGTGCCGATCTTGTGAGCACGCTTTCCGCTTAGAATATGCATCGTATTTTGCTTTATATTCATAAAGTTTAGAAAATCTAACATTAAACACATAAAAAAATATTAGGAAAGAGTACACTTAACTTCACAGAGTTGGGAAAGCACGCTGCGATCCTGAATCGGCGGCTAAACAGCGACAACATGAAATCGTCTCTTGTGTTCACGCTGTCCGTTGATAATATAGACATCTTTCTTCTTTTGCTTCATATTCATCAAGTTTGGAAAATGTAACATTAAACACATATGAAATATCATGGAAGAGTACATTTAACCAAGGATTATTTTAAGGGGGGTCCGCGGATGCAAATCCGACCCTCCCCCCCCTCCCTTGGTGTGGAGTTCGGGGGCCTTCAGCGGGCCGCAAAAAAAATTGGTATTTTAGAGGGCGAACAGTGCCATTTGGTACGGTTTACAACTATGTTTCAGCTAGTCAAAATTCTAATTTCAAGAGGGGACCAGAAATCGAAGGGGGGCGGGGGGGGGGGTCAGGACCCCCCCTGACCCCCTCTCTAAATCCGTCACTGAAATTGGTAGCTTTTTCTGCAGAAACATATAACCACATGCAATTCTTCATTTAACTTTTCGAGCATTTTAAAATCCCTATTATCTATCAACAAACTGAATAGAATACATATATCTTGTTGACATACAATCTTAAAAAGAACTGAAGTGACATAATTCATACATTTTGTGCATTGAAAGAAGGCGTCCAACTAATACATTTTTCCAGAACTACACACTTAAAAACACGACTGTTGTTTTTTCTCTCTGTGTCTCTGCCTGACTGCCTTGAATTCTTATCTTATTTATTTACCCTTTTCATGTGTTTGCGATCTTAAACTTGATCGTGTACAGAGGGAGAACTTGCCTAAGTTTTCATGGCTGAATAAGAAGACCACCTGTTAACGTTGAAAAGTAACCGGTTTTTCTCACATATTTAGATCATCATGATGATCAACATGATGTTTCGCAAGTCATGGTGTTACGAGTTTGTTAACGATGCACGTTACAACATGATATCATAAGCGCACAGCTTTTTAGTCGAAGCGACTAGAATTCTTTGAAAAACGACGAAAAACACTTTTCACGTGTTACTATGAGAACTATCTAAAAACACACATGTTGCTGCAATATTTTTTCAAATCAATTTAGAGATATGAAATTTGGACTGTTTGAGCTATCTTTATTTAAATCATGAGGCAAATATCAGTTACTCCACACATCTTTAATTTCTAAAGAATTTATAGGATATTTCAAAATAGACTACTGTTATACTTATTTGATACATGTATATCTTTTATGACATATTTAATTTCAACAGAACTGAAAAGGGATATTTCAAAATAGAAATATAACTTTTAAGTACTAATAATGCACAAATATCTTTATCAAAATGAGTTATATCCGCAATAAGTTCATAAAACATTTTATATCGATATACTGGAGCACTGAAGACAGCGTGGTTTAACAAGAACACTTCCGGTCAGCGCAATACTGGACAGTGAAAGAGGCCCTGCACCCATCGTCTACCCAGATTTTGTTGCCAAGGAAACCGAAGCTTTTGTTGAAGTCACAGCTGGAACGGGAGTACTTCTTGGCCACATTGATAGAAGTTATGACTCCACCGACGCGACATTCGGCGTATTTATAATTGTGACTGCTGCAATCGGCATTGCCTGTAAAAAGCATAAAATGAACTCGAATCATTTTCATTCAATAAACTGATGCGGATTAGGAAAAACTAGTCTGTTCGAATACAGGAATCGTAGCGTTCAAGTGTCAACCAAGAATGTGATTAATAAATGAATGCAACGTGCTTACATTCTCTGAATAAACAAAAGTGGGGGGAAACTTCAATTAGTACCTCTATATGCGTTTTTAACTAAATGCCTTTCACATTGAATAAAAATTACAAGTTAAGCTTACTAAAATATTTTTAGAAAGATTGCAATTTGAAATCATGTCTCTTTTTACTTCTTTATAGACATTTTGGTCACTCCAATTTTGTTTTGGTTGTTAAATGCGTTGTGTTTGCAAATTGCAACTCTACAAATTGTTATCCCTAAAAAAATATTTTTAAAGGTGAACAAAACCTGGACGACGAAAGTAGGCTAACTATTTCTTAAATCCTTTTGATAACTGCTTAAACTACTTTATGGATAAATTACCAACTTACTCGTTTTCAAATTTCTGCAGTTGAAATCGACGTAGAAGCGGGCTCTGCACCCGTGATTGACCCATAGGCTACAGCCATTTACAGCGAATGAGTATCCTGCGTCGCAGGAGGATCTTGATCTCTTGGTCATCACACTGGCCGAAATACCCCGGACCCCTGTGCAACATGATTTGTATTGGTAACCATTGCTGTCACAGTCAAAGATCCCCGTTACGGCTGAAAAAGGTAAAACAATGTTTGAAAAATGTTGATTAATTTTTTGTTGTTCTNGAAATTTGGACTGTTTGAGCTATCTTTATTTAAATCATGAGGCAAATATCAGTTACTCCACACATCTTTAATTTCTAAAGAATTTATAGGATATTTCAAAATAGACTACTGTTATACTTATTTGATACATGTATATCTTTTATGACATATTTAATTTCAACAGAACTGAAAAGGGATATTTCAAAATAGAAATATAACTTTTAAGTACTAATAATGCACAAATATCTTTATCAAAATGAGTTATATCCGCAATAAGTTCATAAAACATTTTATATCGATATACTGGAGCACTGAAGACAGCGTGGTTTAACAAGAACACTTCCGGTCAGCGCAATACTGGACAGTGAAAGAGGCCCTGCACCCATCGTCTACCCAGATTTTGTTGCCAAGGAAACCGAAGCTTTTGTTGAAGTCACAGCTGGAACGGGAGTACTTCTTGGCCACATTGATAGAAGTTATGACTCCACCGACGCGACATTCGGCGTATTTATAATTGTGACTGCTGCAATCGGCTTTGCCTGTAAAAAGCATAAAATGAACTCGAATCATTTTCATTCAATAAACTGATGCGGATTAGGAAAAACTAGTCTGTTCGAATACAGGAATCGTAGCGTTCAAGTGTCAACCAAGAATGTGATTAATAAATGAATGCAACGTGCTTACATTCTCTGAATAAACAAAAGTGAGGGGGAAACTTCAATTAGTACCTCTATATGCGTTTTTAACTAAATGCCTTTCACATTGAATAAAAATTACAAGTTAAGCTTACTAAAATATTTTTAGAAAGATTGCAATTTGAAATCATGTCTCTTTTTACTTCTTTATAGACATTTTGGTCACTCCAATTTTGTTTTGGTTGTTAAATGCGTTGTGTTTGCAAATTGCAACTCTACAAATTGTTATCCCTAAAAAAATATTTTTAAAGGTGAACAAAACCTGGACGACGAAAGTAGGCTAACTATTTCTTAAATCCTTTTGATAACTGCTTAAACTACTTTATGGATAAATTACCAACTTACTCGTTTTCAAATTTCTGCAGTTGAAATCGACGTAGAAGCGGGCTCTGCACCCGTGATTGACCCATAGGCTACAGCCATTTACAGCGAATGAGTATCCTGCGTCGCAGGAGGATCTTGATCTCTTGGTCATCACACTGGCCGAAATACCCCGGACCCCTGTGCAACATGATTTGTATTGGTAACCATTGCTGTCACAGTCAAAGATCCCCGTTACGGCTGAAATAGGTAAAACAATGTTTGAAAAATGTTGATTAATTTTTTGTTGTTCTATGTTTGTAAATACAGGAGTTACAAGCATAATATTGGAGAATCGAAGAAAAAAAAAAAAAAACAGCCGCAATCGATGCATATTTACATGAACTGATTTTTCAGAAAACGCATCATATGTTACACTATTTCCCCGCGTTGACTTTAAAAAAAAAAAGGCCTCCTTTATTACTAAAAAATGAAACTATAAAAGACGAAAATGATCATTAATACAATGTAAAAAAAAACGTTTGAAGCATTAAGTGAATCACAATGTATTCTAACTTATCAGCGAAGAGTTAAGAGAATGAACTGGGCCCCTTTTGACAATTTTCTTACAAAAGCTTATCTCAACATTGAATATTTACCTTCGCTTGTACCCCACATTCCAATCAGGCAAAGACTAAATACAACGATCATTTGACCTTCCATTTTCTCTTCTTCTGTATTTTCTCTTGGAGCAAAAACTGTCGTTCGACTCAGATCTCGAGAGCTTGACCGCAACTTGAATGTCCAGTTCCATGTACGGCGCGACTTATATTCGTTTGTAAGCGGATCTTGTGGACGAGCAAATTTTTGCCATTAAATTAAAGCGCAACATTTTTCTCGGGAAGTGAATATTTTTAAGAAGTCGCATGGGAAGATCACATGTCCGGTTGCGGTTAGAAATAAGATCAAAATCATCGGTCACTTTTCTTCTTTTGATCTGAATACAGATATTTTTGATTTTCTCTCATATTCATATTCTATACTCTCATACTCATATTCTCTAATAATCAACTAATAATTATTTATATACTTCACGATAGGGATAACATAACTTAAATACAGCGTTTAAAACCATTTTTTTTTTGAAAATTTAAATTAAAGTTATTATATCCTAGGCTACTGCTTCATCAAATAAGGTAAGCACGACCTAAACTTCTCTCTCTCTCTACCTCTCTCTCTTTTGTAGCTGCAACTTTGTTGGATTACGAACCCTCTGAAAATATCATGTGCTTAGCCTTTCACAGATTTTTTTTTTTTTTTTTTTTTTTTTTTTTTTTTGTAAATGATTCACAAATAAGTAGTTTTCGAGATACACATTTTCTTAAAGCTTTATTATTTATTCATAGATGTCTAAAATATTGCAGTCCTGTTAGCATGAAAAACCTGTCACAGTCAAAGATCCCCGTTACGGCTGAGATACGGCTGAGATGGTAAATTAGATATAGTAAATTTAGTTGAAAACCACACGTAGATGATAGTGCGTGATAGATCTCATTTCACTATAAACGTGATACAAAATAAACCTTCAATTACTTTTCGGGCACTACATCAGTTTCAGCTGTGATCAGTTTTCCACATAAACATGATCTGCAAAAGTGAAACTCACTGCAAGGATGGTACAGGATAACATATAGCACATTGTAAGACCATAAATCAAATAGCCTAATAGCCTGAGTCAAAGGTTATGAATTTAATTGCCTTAACGATGGCACTATATTGCTTGAGCATGCAGGATGTGCGACACATGCATATGGTTTTGAGAAAAAGGGAAGTTGCCAATTTAAATAGGATACAAACATGCTTCGGACAAGGAGGTGCGTCTTATACACCTTCTTGATTGGAAGGGCATTGAGATACGTATTTCTATACTTTTTTCTCCTCATTAATATATCGCAACGCTGCTTTATGATAAATAGTGAAATTGCAATTTCTTGGAGCTAAAATATATAAATACACATTTTGATTTTCTCCCTTACTGTTACATGTAGAAACACCCGATCAAAAGTTCACGTTTTCCACTCATGAAAGTGTTTTATACAAATGTGTCTTCAGAACCACGGAATCGCACTTGCATAAATTTATCTTCTTGTTTTGTTTGTTAACATATAAATAAGGCTATCTATTTTTTTATTGAAGTTGGCAAAAGATGTCAGGTATCGCAGGCATAACAGGGGGCTTATCTGATCTCTGCCTAGGTGTACAGTGTAGGCCTACATCTTGACAGGGGCGGATCCAGGATTATTTGAAGGGGGTCCGCGGATGCGAAGCCGACCCTCCCTCCCCCCCCCCCCTTTCTCGGCGTGGGGCCCGGGGCCCATTAAAGGGTCCCGAAAATTTTTGGTATTTTTGAGGACGAACGGTGCCATTTGGTACTGTTTAGAAGCATGATTCAGCTAGTCAAAGTGCTAATTTCAAGAGCTAGGGGACCATCATTGGTGTGATTTTTTTTATAGAAATCAAAGGGGGGGGGGGGTCAGGACCCCCCTGACCCCCTCTAAATCCGCCACTGTCTTCATTATAGCTATTGGTAGGGCCTACTATTCTAGCAGACAAAACACTGAAAATTACCCACCACACCCAATCGATTGCTTGCGTATTCATGCTTTTCAAACGGGGGCGTCTCAATAGTCCGAAGGTTCATTGGTCCGAAAAGCGGTAACATTTTCATCGATTTTTTTTAACCAAGGGTTCATTCGATTGGGTCGACCATTGAACTTCGGACTATTGCTACGGCCCCTTCAAAACAGGTGTGCATTTTTGTGCATTTTATAAAAACGCTTGCTTAAACTCACCATTTTACCAGTTATAACTAAGTAGGGGCGGATTCAGCATTATTTGAGGGGGGATGTCTGTGGATGCCAAGCCTACCCCCCCGCCCCCGGAAAATTTTTGGTATATTTTAGAAGGCGAACGTTAATTACCATTTGGTAGGCTACGGTTTAAAACAATGATTCAGCTAGTTAAATTCAAATTTCAAGAGGGGACCATTGGTGTGAATTTTTTAGAAATCGAAGAGGGGGTGGGGGGGGGGGGGGGAGGCAGGGCCTCCCTGACACCCCCTAAATTCGCCACTGGTAATTAACGATGTTATAAAAAATCATTTGTCCTGCTTTTGGTTATTCACTCTGCCACCAGGAGCGCATACATGCTTCCGTTTAGTAAGAGGGGCCACTCGCTCGGATCCCAAACTTTTATTTGTGTAAACGTTCAGTAAATGAAAGCAGCACACCATTTTAGGGTTATTATTTCTTTTATTAGATGATTTCCCAACCATTTGTTGTTAAATTATAGGTTTTCACTCTAGTTTAATCTTGTGGACGCTCGTCGACTCTAGCGACGTAGCGTGCACCCAAACTTTCTCTCTGCTTAGTTTATAGCGGTGTGATATCATTCAGTTGGCCTACATAATTAGGACACTTTACTTTGTTTTCCAACTGAAAATACCAAATTATATTTAAGGTATAAGTATGAAGTGATTCTCCAGCCATTTTATGCTTGTGGACATTTGCAATTGAGGACGCTGTTCTGACAGACCGGAAATTTGAGGTCACATATCTGTGCCGGTAGTGGGAGTTGACATCAAGAAGTTAAGTTGGGAGCTCTACCTACAGCTCGACATGGACATACTTGTAGGAGGAATTGAAGGGTAATTTTAAGCAGGGTTATTAGCGAGGCACGATATTCTCGGTTATCATTTTAATTAATTTAAATTGGATGTGTAGCTGTTATTATGAATGCATGCATTATTATTATTATTATTATTTATTTTTATTATTATTTAGAGAGCCAAAATGGCTGATCTAATTAACTCTTTTTTGTTGAGGTATTTATTTCTTTTTGCACTCGAGGCAATCTTTACACTCAGTGCTCAGGGCATGGCTAACAGTTTCATATCCAAAAGATCCAAAAAGTTTCTTTTTCTTTTGCAGTGGGGCCACTTGCTCCAAGATGGTCCTTATGAAATTAGATGGTACAGTTGTGGCCAGGTCTGAGGGGCTTTGCACCAACCCTTGGGTAAGTTACACATGTATATGGATTACTATGTAATGTTGACTTAACTACTAGTATTGTTACACTATCATAGTAAGTATAAGGTTTGTTGAGGAAGTGCAAGGATAGATATTCTGCCCAAAAAAGAAGGAGAAAGTTTTTTATATCTATGCTGGGGCAGATTCAGATATATTTTCTAACAGTCTTCCAAATTATCTTTGTTGATCCATCTTCAATTTTTGACCATCTTCCAACAGAAAAAAAAAAAACTAGATACCCGTCAGTGTAAAATTCTAAACCATCTTCCAGAGGACCCCAAAATGGTAGTATATTGTTTAGAAATACATGTGTGTGGCAATACAGGCTGGTACCCCCTCAAAACTGACTGTAAGATACCTAGAATGCGAACCTGGGGCAGCCTTTTCCATTCTTCCACCAGTGCAGCCTTTATCTCTATAACAGCCTAGGCTATGGCTGGCTGTTCTGAAGTCATCTGCCGTAGTTCATCCTAGGCATGCACAGTGGGAGACATGTAAGGTCAAAATGCTGACCATGAAAGTGTCTAGATCTGCCCCTGCTGCAGGTACACCTGTGCTGTCCTGGCAGTATGGAGAAGGGTATTGTCCTGCTGGGGCAAGTGTAGGGTTGAGTGTTGATGCATAAATGGCATGACAGCTGTCCTTAGGACTTCATTTCTGTACCACTAGGCAGTCAAATTTCAACCCATCACTGCTATCGCCACAGACAGGCACATATATAGTTGCTACAGTTGTGCTATCAATTTTGTTTATGTTCAGTATAATTCTTATTTAACATGTAGTCTACTGTAGTAGGTACTGTCCAAACAGTCATTGATACTCTGCCTTTGATGCCAATTGATCATATCCTTACTTCCATCTAAGAATGTCTGTTTTAATGAAACAGCTGGTAGGACAAGAGGAATGTATGAAGAGGATTTATGACCTGTCCCTAGACATCAAGAAACAAGCTGGTATAGATCCAAACACGCCACTTAAGGCTTTGGTAAGATAATGATTGCTCCATGTACATGTAACTCTGTTACCATTTCGTAACTATTAATATTTTATTTCTGTTTATTACAGTATTTATCAAAGCTTTGTCAGCAAATGTTTCTTTTTAAAGATAAAGGAATCCAAGGTTTTAAGAAGCAGATAACTCTACCCCTCTTTTGATTTTATTTTAGTTTAAACTTTAAAAAATCTTACCAAATGTGGTTGTTTTACAAGATTTTGTACTTAATTTGTACTTATTTTACAGGGTTTGTCCCTAAGTGGTGGCGGAGAAGAGGAATCACAGAAGAAAATCATTGAGGCACTAAAGAACAAATACAGCTCTCTAAGCGAAAACTACTTTATATGCAATGACACCATAGGTTCCATGGCTACCGCTAAAGAGGAAGGTAATTATTTTCAAATTAATTATTTTAAATGATGGAAGAAGATGAGTGAAAAGTTATTCAGTGAATGACTTTTAAGATAATTTTTTTTTTGCAATAATTTGAAAGAAAGGACGCATTTAATTTGTGGTCTTGAAAATACAAGAGTTCCTGTTTTCTAATGTGCTTGCAAATCTCCAGCAATAAGTAATTGAAGTGCTATATGCTTTGAATAGAATAGATTGCAATGATATAAGAAGCCATGTTGATTCCAACACGAAAGATTCTTGCACAGCTTGTCCAATATGATCCTATATCATCTTAGGGATTGTACATTAGAACTGATATTTTATGTACTACATCTGCTTATACTTTTTATACTTCATCTGCTGATACTTTAATATACTACTTCTGCTGACAATATAAGGGCAAGCTAAATACTTTTTGCTGTAACTGAAACCCACTAACTCCTTTCAAGCATGCTGTTTCTGTTCCAGGTGGGGTTGTATTGATATCAGGAACAGGCTCAAACTGTGTACTGGTCAATAAAGATGGACAGACAGCCGGGTGTGGAGGCTGGGGTCACCTTCTCGGGGATGAGGGGGGAGGTAAATATATTGCTCCTATAAGTGATACTGTCTGAGAGAATCATGTGTCATTGTTTTATGATTTCCAGGAGGTTTGGTATTGATCTCTGGTACTGGATCATGTTGTGTGTTGTTTGGTCCCCAGATGGAGCCACGTAGGTGTGGTGGATGGGGGCACCTGATGAGTGATGAGGGTTCAGGTAACATGCCAATGCTTATTCACATGGCACAGCTACCATGCATGTTGTAGTGCATACAAAAGTTCAGCTGACTTGCATATTGTGCACATGGTTATTGTCACAGTGTTTTGTATCCAGGCTTTGTTTTTTTTAACTTATCAGAAAGTTATTTTAGTATATATATATATATATATACACACATATATATATATATATATATATATATATAAGAAAGTTATTTTAGTCTACTATATATATATATATATATATATATATATATATATATATGTTATATATTACGTATTAAAATACTGTAGATGATATATTTTAAGCGTACTATAGTACATGTGCATGTAAATATATCATGCAACAGATTTCCTCCTAAACAAGTGGAGGTTTAAAAAGAGTAATAATAACTGATGGCAAGGGTGTTCTTTTTCACCTCACTATATCTTTTTACTTGTTTGTTTGTCACCAGCCTAACTCCATAAGATTTGGATGGATTTTGATAAAAATTTCAGGAAAGGTCAGAAATGGGCTTACTTATTAGCGATTAGATTTTCGCTGTGATACTGATTACCATTTGGATTCAAGAATTTGAGGACCCAGGTACTGCCAGTGCCCTTGACCTTGTGCAATGGATGATGTCTCAACGACTACTGTAACAGTTTATCAGTGCAAGGTCCTTGGCACTGGTCTGCGCTCTGTGTGTGCTTTTCTAGTGTTAAACAGCAGTCTGCTTTTCTTTAGCTTATTGGATGACCCAGAAAGCCTTGAAGATGTTATTTGATCATGAAGACAATCTCTTTCCTTGTCCATATGATGTGACTTTTGTTAAACAAACCATGCGCAATCATTTCAAGGTAAGCATTTAGATAAATGGGAACTCGGTTATTATGAAAAATATTAAAGTTATATCAAGAATTCACACTAAGAAATGTTGTCCTTTCTTTAAAGAACTGTGCATTTTTAGCTAATACATAAAACATATTGTACATTCCACATTAAAAACTGTATACAGACTTGGGGAAATCTTTTGTCGTCTCTTATTTCATATGTTTTTACAAATGATCATCCCGCATCTGTGATCCATTAATCTGTGAACAGCAGATTCCTGAGATTTGAGGGGTTTCATGCTCTAAAATAGTATAAAATATGTATATGTATGCCATTATTGTATATTTTCTGTAATATGAGTCATGTTCAATATGGTATCTGAAATAAAAAAAAAAAAACACTGTTCAAAATGGTTTACAGATGTGAGGTGATTTTTTGTTAATGAAACACATGGGATTTAGGGTGGGACAACCTTTTTGACCAAGTCTGTATATACAAAGTGTAAGCGTACCCATACATTAAGTTATAAAGTTAAGTTATTATGTTAAAACTGTGCCTATCCTTTCTAGATTGAATCTCAAATGGATTTGCTGGAACACCTCTATACCAAATTTGACAAGAGTTTTATTGCATCCATGAGCAAAGAACTATCTAAAGGTGACCTATTTTATCATTTAAGGCATATTTTAGGAATTGCTCAGTTTTCCATAGGATAATAACACAGAGCCATGTTGTAAAAAGTGACACTTGTTTCTTCGAGGTGTATATCACCATTTTCTTAGCTGTTACAGTTTGGTGATAGCACTACTTCCATGGACTTAAAATTGTTTGATGATTTTAACTTTTCAGGTGCCTTAGAAAAGAAAGATCCTCTCTGTTGTCATGTGTTTTGTGAAGCTGGAAAGATTCTTGCTCGGCATGTTTTAGCCGTGGCTGCAAAAGCAGATAAGGTGAACATAAAATGGAATTTTGTGTATAATAGTATGGTAATGGTACATTATAGCATTTTAATGTGTTATCTCCTAATTAGTTTTGAATTCAAAATAATTTGCTCCATGCCCCTTCTGCACATGCTGTGGGTAATATGGGGGTTGAACTCTCAAGATGGAAACATGTTGAGTTCATTGATAAACCCTGACATTTTGTCTCATTCACACAGGATTTGTGCTTACTAATGACCTGTCATGGCTGTTTTTAGTGTGCATGGAAAGGCACACCAAATTGGGGCATAAGTAAGCTCAGCATGTGTGTTGTATATCATAGGCACTTTGGGGACAAAGAAAGTCAAGGTATGTAGTTACTGGGTACACATATTATTTAAAGTGTATTCCGTGTGAAAGAAACAAAATGTGAGAGTTAGCACAAGACTCAACTTACTTTCGTCTTGGGAGTTCAATCTCCTTGATATTGCATTTCTTATTTTAAACGCGATTTATCTTTGTTAAGGCCCTTCTTAATCTTGATGGTGGACTACCTATTGTTTGTGTTGGCTCAGTGTGGAAGAGTTGGGAGGCCTTAAAAGATGGTAAGGATAGTTTTCTTTAACACAGCTTCTGTATTTTTAGGATTGGTTATCTAATCACAGTCTTATTTTACAACTTTTGTTGAAATTTTTTAACTTAAAAAAAATTACAGGTCATGTGGTTAAGACTACTATTAATGATAATTTTTAATTGATAATTTTTAATTGATTATTTTATACAAGCTTTGTCTGTAAGTGTTTATATTCGGATAAAATGTGTCTTTCTGTGTATTTCCTGTTGCTGTCTAAAACACATATTTTAAAAATGCCATGTGGGCCAAGCCATTTTGATCTACAGACACTAATGTCATCGTTGCCTTGCACTTTAAATTTCAGAGATAACACACTGTTATACTAATAGAATGAAAACTGTTCCATATCATATATTGCTTTAAAACTTGCATGAATAATTCATAGGCCTGATAGACAGATCAGGTTAAAAAATAGCTTGATTGGTTTAATTTTTGTTTAAGTTCTGCTGTTCTTTGAGAAATGTGCATTTTTAACATATTGGAATTTTCAAGGTGTGACTTTGAACTTTCATGGGACTGAACACCTTCGCTAGTCACATTTTCTAAATTACTGTTACCTGCAGTGCCTAATTCAAAGGCTTAATGCATTATACAGTTTATATAGAGCTGATTCCTGTGCTGTTTCAGGTTTCCTAGAAGGCATGAAGTCTCGTCCTGATGTGAAAATCTCAGAGTTCACATTGCTGCGCTTGCATGAAACTGGAGCTCTGGGTGCAGCTTTTCTTGCAGCCAAGGCAGCAAAGCTCCACCTGCATTTGAATTATGCAGCAAATGCTGATGTTTTCTTTCACCACAAATTTTAAATCAGTGTTGCATTGTTATTCAATCATGTAATAATTGCACTTCAGTACATTCCTATGAGGAAAAAAATGGACCAAACTATCATGATTGTTTTATAACAAAGAGAATACATTTAGAACGATTTGTATCACAGTCTGCATGTGAGAAATTACAAGTATTTTTTAACTATTTTAACCATTTATCATTGAGCATTTTCAAGTGGATTACCTATAATATAGAAGGATTATAGATACTCCCTTCTGTCCCTTCCACTGAAGATTAAACATTCTCAACTGTTTCAATTTGAAAATTATATCATTAATTGTACGGTGATCAATTCACGAGTGCCTGCACCAGCAATTGGTGGGAATACTGTCATGGTGAGGCATGTTCTGATCAAAACATGCATTTGGGATGCTAGTCATTGAAAAGAGAGGAAGAGGGGGGTGCTTTCTGCATAAATTGAGATGAATACCATTTTTTTTTTTTTTACTTTGACTTTATTTGGAAGTATTTATATTATGAATACTATAAAATACAGTGATTCGAAACCAACTTGAGCGATGCATTTTACTAAACAGAATTATTGTAATTTTTATAAAATTATTCACTTGTACTGTAACTGTTTCATCTGTCCCCCACCCCTAGTACTTAGTACACTCTCTAGCTGTGCAATATATGGTAATATAATGATACTTAATAGTAATCATGTATTCTAATTATGTTTTTGCTAAGCTTTCACAATTAAAATTGTAGACTTGTAAAGTCCAATCTTTTATTACCAGCAGTTTATTTCAACCGTTTTTGAGGTTTGAAATAATTTTGAATTTTGTGAATGAAGTCCCAGATACACCACACAATGTATTCAAAATATGGTTTGGTCTTTAAATTGGCATGGAAAGCTTTTAGGTAGCTCAGTAGTTGCAGCACAGTGTTAAGGTACTCTTTGCACATAGAAAGTGTCATATTGTATTCTGGAGTCAATGTATTCAGGATATAAAACGATCAAGATTTTGTGGCTAGCTTATTGAGCCTTTCTCGATTTCAAGCATGAAAATTTAATCAGAGTTGCAAGATTTACAGACTCATTTGAATAAATCTGACCAATTCCAGAAAAACCAATGCTCGTGTTTCTTTCACAAATAATAAAGCAAAAATTCTCATCATGCAAATAATTACAGCATATGTCCATTTTTCAAAATGCATGCTTGTAAAGTAGGCCAACACCTTGAGATAGTGAATGAGGGAAAAACATCCAAGCACTTCAAAGAGCTCCATTTATTAATAAGCAAATGAACATCAATTCCAAATATACAAACACAGTTACAGTTGTGATTAACCAATATATACAGACTTTAAAATGCTTAACATGCTAAAACATTGGTTTTTAAAATGATGATTACCAAAATAATTATCAAAGTAGCACATTAAATCTGTATCCTACCGTACAAAAGAATGTCCACAGAATCAAACCACATCTCCTTCACCTTAAAAGCAATGGAATCACTGTTCCAAATACAAACCAAGGGATGGTGTAAAACACAGAAGCTCTGTTATTTCTGTGATATGAAAAGACTTTGTTTAACACTTTTAAGAACAACAACATAACACAAGTATGATCTAGTTCAGTCCCATCTTCCCCTACATTTTGAGTAGACTTGTATATATATATACACCACTACAGCAACAATGCTGGTGATGATATGTACTTCATGCATTGGGAAGAAGGGTCTGGTTTCCACTTTTTTGTTCCATCAAGTGTTCTGACATCATGAACCCCCAGTACATAGCTAACAAGCATTAGCATAAAGCAAACTCCACTCCAAACTGTAGCTATGTTTCAAATGTTTAACTTCTGAAGGCATGTGCTGAACTTCAAGGGTATTTCAAAACTAAAAAAAAAAATAATAATAATAAAATAAATAAAATAAATAAATAAAAAAAAGCAATATACAATTCCAAAAAGTATCTCAAAACCCACATTTACCCTTACTGTCTATATACCCCATAAAATATGAAGAATCCTGATAGCATATTCAACTTGCATGTTCGCCTTTTTTTTTCCTTTGGACATACATACTAGAGAAACTTGATCAAAAATCACTAAGATCAGTCTAAACTCCTTTTCATTCACTAACCTTGAATATATATTTGATCAGAGCTCACTAAAAATTTTCCACAATAAATTAAAACATGCTACAACTTGCAGTTTAACATGCATAGCATTCTGTTATCCGTTTACTCCTCTAAATAGCTTAAACATTACTTATTAAGCCAAAGCTTGAAAGCAATCAAGGAAAAGTAAATTATAAGCTTCCAACATCAGGATATGTATACACGTATTACAATCAAAGCTAATATAAAAAATATTCTTATAAAACCAAAATTTAAATGCAAATAATGATTGATACGTACTGGCATGCACACAGGTGTAAAATATTAAGATGGCATATTACCACATTTTAATTCAGAGCATTTTCTAAATAATTATTATTTGGAATGTGGTGCAAGCGAAGACTGTAACACAAAGAACACAACATTACAACAAACTATTTAAAAATAATTTATGTCACCGTATGACTTAGTATTTTTGATCCAGAAGATAATATCATTAAAAGAGTTTACAGACAAAGTGGACTTCAAGTTCCTGGTATTATCCTTATCTACAATCTATTCCATTATTTAACGCACTTTAGGTTTCAATGATTGGTTCAAATTTTCATTGAAGAATGCAATTTCAAAGTAGTAAAAATGATGATGAAAATTTTCCTAGATATGCTAATTTTAACCATTAATAATGCACCACCTATTTTTACCAATTTCTAGTGAATTCTGTGCCTGAAATACTTCAAAATAGCTCAGAAACTACATCTATATTATCCCAAATTAAAAGGAATTGTCTATAGGGCAGAAAATGACCATGGTTCAGCAATATATAACCTACCACCAAGACAATTAAACTGTCTAAGGCAGTGAGCTGCTGGTTAAAAGCTCCTTTTAGCTTATTTTAAAAGAGAAACATAATAAAGGTATACAATAGTACGTGTGTATCATATGAATCTCATGTCATTCTTTATACTAAACATCAGATATTAAAATTACATTTCAAAATAGTCTATTAAGATGCTACAAAGTATAGGTGCATTGGTCACAATTGTTGTTTTATCTTTAAATTGTCAATTTGAAAATGTATACTCCAGCTATGGTAATGTGAACTCACTGCCAAACCATTTGGTTTTAACGCTCCTCACAGTTTTACGGGCTGAGCCTAGGACTGGAAATATGCAAGGCCCTGTTCAGCCAAGCTGACCACATAGGCTCTAGCAGGATCGTAGTACTGCACTCTGAAATCAATCACTTCTTCTCGGTTTTTGATCTCCGTTAGCAACTCACTCTCAACACTGGCCTCCATGATGAACACTACAGCTGCAAATAGCAGCAGAAAAGTCAACACAAAACTGATAGTCAAGTATCTGCAACATGTGGCTGTCCCAGACCTCTCTGCGGGTGGTGCTGGCACCACATCCTTGGGGAGCTCTGTATTGGTCAGTTTCCCATTATTTTTCTCATGGATGTTTTCTTCCACAACAGCTGGTTCTCCTTCAACTGAGGATGTTTCTGACTCCCTGTCCACCTCATTTAAGTGGTTGGGTGTGCTGCAGACAGGTGGGTTCCGCAGCTCTTCAAGCTCCTTCTCTGCATCCCGTATTTTTGTCTCCAGTAGGTCGTTTGGTGCAGAAGTGTCTTGGACATCAGAGGATCCCTCAACTATGGTCTCATCTGGTTCATAGGGGCTGTTTTCACTGGTTATGGTCACCTCTGTCTGATTTGGTAACGTGGAGTCCAAAGTGATGTCCACGGACTCAGAAACGGTGGCGGGACTGGATGCGTCGCGAGACTCATCTGCTTTATCACCTGCTAAAAGAATTGAAAAAGAGCAATAAGATGACAAATCAACAGAGAGTGGTGTGGTTTTCTGGGCTTCCTTATTCTTTAAAACATACATTTTACACTACATTTACATTAATTGTCTATAATCTTGATTTAAGTTAAGACTTCAGTTAAGATTAAAACAAATGAATTTATCAATTTTACCTTAAACACTGCTCATACAAACAATGTCCCAACTTTTCTTTACAGTAATGTGAAAAAAAACATTTAACTGATAGAACTTCTATTAAATTATAAGCTTACAAGCATCAGCACTCAGAGTAAAGTTAATAGGTAACGTGTTCTCCTTCTGCTGTTTCTTGCTGTGGTTCCTAACAATTATTGGATTGGAAGATGACCTGAAAAAAGTTCAAGATAAATAGAAAAAGATAAGATTATTATTTTCACCGTCAATCACAAGCTTCAAATTTGTAACAAGAAATGTCCAACTCAGCTCTAGTGCTATATTGACCAAAGTAATAAAAAAAATTTCTAAACCATTTTCAATAACACTTTAATTTCCATAGAAATTCAAGCAGAGAGATGCAAAGCACACTAAGGATTAGCATTTGGCGTAACTAAGGTAAAATCAACTGAACAAACCATCATTCTCAATATCTTCCTTGTTATTTTTAACATTTCTCCTTTGGAAAACAAATCCCTTGCTATTTCATTCAGTTCCAGTAACATTGCTGTTAAGGGAATGAATTCAACAATTTGTTGCCAACTGAATACAACAATTATAGTCACTGTGTGTGTTCTAGTCCAGGTTTCTGCCTGTCTTATCTGATATGTGTCTGCTTGTATAGACTTCAAATAAATCCATTTATGGTTAAATGCTCAGAAATAAACCATCCCCCACCCCTACCTGCAAATAAGAATATATATAAGCTTTGTGCACAAACCACTGCACTGACATTCTTTTTAGTCCATATGACATATACTTACCTACTGAAAGTGGGGCTATCTCTTTTGATGTTTTCACTATCTGCAAGCACCTCTCTTTGAGAACGCCCACTACAAGGTAAAGTTTTAGCAGCATAACACACAAAGCACACACTCGGAACACTTTGCTATATTCTACTAGTCTGCATGTGCTCTATTTCACACAGGTTACTATGTTTAAGCTTTTTCTAAGTTCAAACCAAATATTTTTGTAGAAAAACTCAGCCTTTTTTATACAAATCAATACCAGCAACCAATATTTTATGAATGTTGCTCATGTCAGCAAAGATGCGTTTTTCTTTACATTCCACAAACCTTTTCCTGGAAATGAACTGTCTTTAAAACATGATAAAAAAAAAGGGAGTGCACTCAGTGGTTCTTACTTGATAACAGATGAGAAAGAAATATCATGAGCTACCTGAATCTGAATTTGGATCCTCTCCTGAATAGTCCTCCCCCAGAATAAACTTTGGGAGCTTGGGAAGCTGAAGGAAGGCTGACAAGGGGGTAAAAGAAATGCAACAAAACTAATAAAATTAAATATCATTGATAAGCATCTTGCTGATTGGAAACAAAAGAAAAATTCATCATTTTCTAATGCTGTAAATTGCAATTATTTGGCAAATAATGTGCTATTAGTGACAAAAAATAATATCAACATATTTATTAATTGGATAAATTTAAAGTAATGACCGTTAGTTTAAAGATCTGGAAAGACTTCAATCTTGCCTCTGTGTCAATTTCTTTAGAAGATCATGTAAAATTGCATGCAAAAGTCGCAAATTTCATCCGCACTTCACATCTTGTTTAATGGTTGTAGGCATGATAATTCATAACAATCTTAATGAAAAAAGTTTCTTTTTATTATACTGAAGCCTGAAATAATACACCAAGTGGGTATATGAATTGTCTGATGGTGTACTGAAACTGTTGTTAAGAGTTAGTTCATATAAAACACTGCAAAGCAAAAAACACTAGAACTCCAATGTGTTCTGTATTAGATACTTACGTAAAGAAAGCTTGCTGTTCCACAGCACATCGCCACAGATGTTTACAGGCTGCAGTTGTGGGGCATTTGAAGCCAACAACGTGCTTCTTCTGCAATAGAAAAAAAATAACAATCAGTCCACAGACTTACATTTTCCTATATTGCTATATGTTTGCAGTTCAAACTTTTTCTGTTTTATAGCAGAACCATGTAAGCACTAGCCATACATATCAGCAGGTATTGTTATAATAAGACTCACCATCAAAAAGACAAGTACCTATCAAAAGATAAATGATTATATTGACTTGAAGTCAACAAAAGTTTAAACTTCAATCCAACCTCCATCTTTTCATATCTATTTCCTACGTGATGTCAAACATATTTGGCAGATACATACTCTGTAGGTGGCTCATTTTGCAAGGATAAAATGTAAACAAATGCCAAAACTTTCAAAATATGTTATTGGATTTTCACCCCAATTAATAGTTATACTTTAGTTGCTCATTCCCTTAACACCTCCAGGCCCTTACAAATGGCCATGTGACTTAACTCCTATATTAATAGCTTTTGCAAACTTTTCGCCATCTAACTGAAAAAACTATTTTCAGACAAAAATTATAACTCAAGGCACATACTTCTGCAAATAAAAGCACTTTTAAACACTCACTGTGATTAAACCCCTCTTTTTATATCAGGATAATTGTATATGGAAAAATAGATTATCTTTTTAAATCAAGTTCTAACTTTTTATATCTTAAGTTTCAACAAATATTTACAAAAATAAACATCAAATACCATCATATTTCCGGTACACCCAAGTAAAAAGGAGCTACTCTATAAGAAAAAAAGCAACAATTCAGTGAATGATTAATCTGAATAAATCAACTAACATAACTGCCACAAAACCCAAGGAGAGAGAAAGATACTGGTAGAAGGCAGAAGAAACCCTGCTTCCCAACATTAACATATATTTAAGCAGCCCACATGAGAGAGAATGATAGAGATACCAAAGCCCTACTGGAAATAACAACTGAAACAAGCCAGCAATGGCTGACATATGGAAAGACAACTGTTAACAGTGTAAACATGGAATAAAAGAATATTAAAATATACAAATTTCAGTCTTGACACCCATTCCCCCAAACTCAAGGTGGATATATATAAATTTCTATTAAGTTATAATTAAGTTATAAGTTGAGAATAACTAATAAGTAACACTTTTTTCCTTTTATGATGTTAAATAGGTAAGTGGCAACAACACCAGACACAGTGATGGCTTTCTATGTCCAGACCAAAGAAGCGTCTGTCCATAAAAAAAAGGAAGTTAGCCAGCAAAGTTTCACTGTGAAAGATTCATAATTTCACAAATGAACCAGAAAATTGGACAAAAAAAAAAGCTCTTCTACTTTCAAAGCCTTAGGGTGCATTCCCTATGGAGCTGTTGTTCTACATAGATTGATCCAACTCCATGGGGAATCTTGCAGAATGCAATCCCATTATCTGAATGACATACGTTCTTGAACAGAAAGGGGATGGTTTGCTTTCGTGTGCTTTCTGTCACACTCAAAACAAAGTGATAAATCTTCCAGAAGCTGAGCACACAGGAAAGTTAATCACTCCTAGCTGCTTGAGGAGGCGTGTCATTTAGCTCATCTTACTGCATTCAGCATGAGTCACCGTGGAGTTGGGTTGATCTATATAGAAGGATGGTTTCATTGAAAATGCCCCCTTAGTTCAGCCACCACATTTAACTTCTCTAAGATTAGATCGGATACTTTTTCATATGGAAGTAAGCCTCTTTGCATAGTTTTCTTTTCATTGTAGTTGTTGATTAACCTAATAATCGTTCCAAACACATTTACCTAAATAGTGTTTAAAACTTAGAAAAAGAACTCAGCACAATTCTAAAAGATACTGGTAACTGAACGAGACAAGGACAAATAAAGAACAAGTCATCAGGATGCTTATACCCTTGTTGGAACAAGTTTGAAAGGGAAACATTTGTCTGAAACAAATATTTGGTGTGATCCACACTACCCCAGTTTCGCAAGATGACATTCCAATTAAAGCTGAGAGCATACAGATAAAACACATTCTTTTGAAAAGCTAATGCTACACACATCACACCATATATGGGTCTCCTAGGGTTACCATATGCATTCATTTACACAATTACCCAACAAAACGTGATTTGTTGGCACATCCTGCCCCTTGTTATTTCAATTTTTTTAATACAGCCAGTGCTCTGTCTGACAGAAAACATGTACATCAATTTAAGTATTTGCCTATCCAGGGTATTAAGAGGCTTCTCTTTATTGCCTGCCCATTTATGATTCCCAAACAAGCCATCAAAAGGAGAAAATCAAGTTATTGGGTTTTAGTCTGAAAGCTGCATGTTCCAAGCTAGCTTTAACTTCACCAAATCACAATATGAGAAAAACAACAGATTTCACGGAAATTGTAAAAATTTGTCTTTTTCAACTGACATAATGCCATTTCATCCAGAGCTGTAGGTCTGTACAGTGAAACCTTACAAATGTGGTTTTCAGAACCCATTAGTCTCTGTCTTCATTTGAACTTATTCCTACAGAGCAAGAAAGAAGGAAAAGAAAGCATAAAATCAACAGAAATTTTGGTTGACTAGTAGTTCATCTTTTATTGAAAAAAAAAATCGCCTTAGTAAAATTCCCTTAAGCAATAAAATTAATTGTTACTGTACACTCCCATTATCCACCATCTATATACCCATACAATGATCATCATTTTCATGAACACCTGAAACTCCACATTTTTCACCTGTGTATTGAGAGCACAATATTGTATACTAACATGCAACAAGCAGATGTCTTAATTAAGATACCCTCTTTGGAAATAGCTCACAGTAACAAATGAATTATTATCAATTACAGCTATAGGTTTCAATGCAATGTACACAATCCATGCCTTTCACCATTATGGCAGACTAATTTCAATTCTGAGAAGAAATGTTTTGCTTCACAATGTAGCTTTTCATGCTGAAAGTGTACCATGTTTTGCATTGTTAAAAATGGGCATCAGGTTACCCATCAATTTTAGTAGGGTTCACAGTCTATGAGTAACCAAAGCTGATATTCACCGCAATACCCTCTAACTTTGACATAGCGTCTGATAATCCTTGCAATGCAGGGAACAACTCTCATGTTGCTATGGTAATTTCAGTTGCCACGATTGATGATGGTATTAACATTACTTATTGCCTAGAGTCATAGCAGTTGCTGTCTTTCAATATAAAGGACCATGCACTGCAGTCATGCAATGGTTAAAACAAGCCAGTTAGCAAGCTGTATATATATCTACACCAACAGCTAATGGCAGTATCATAATATATCTATGTGCACAAAATGACATCCAAAATTATTCAGGATGCAAAGAGAAATAACCAAACATGTGTACAATATCACAGCTTTTCTGATCTCTAATTCTGAACTATAAAAAAAAAAAAAAAAAAAAAATAGTGTAATCTAATAGGTCAATTATTTTCAATTAAAAAAAAAACTATTTATGAAACAGATGTAGAACAAAATAGAATACATTAACTGCACTGTTTCCCATTAGGTTCAACTGATGCACAAAATACAATATTGTGCTGTAAAGAATAAAAATCTTTCAGAAAAAAAAAACAGTAAAAAATTTGATAAAGGTTTAAAGACTGAAATGACAATTCAAACTACTTGATATACTATCAAAAGTGTTATTAGTTGAGGTTAAGAGAGGTCAGTTCAGTGAATTAAGAACAAACACTTACTTTTGTGTCTATTTTGTACTCTTCAAGGTCGGCCTATGGGAAATAAGAAGCAATTGAAAAAGACTAAAGCAGAACAACTAAAACCTTGGTTGTGACATTTTCAAAAAAGTAAAGTGTACTGTTATGTTCAGAAACCACAAATATCTACATCTAATAATGCTATGAACAGCTTACAAGACATGTACAATAAGAACCACCAGTACCATGACCTGCTGGACTTTTAAGTTAAAATTTAAATTAAAATAAAGACATACAATGACCATTTCAAAGTGGCAGAATGAACTGATAAACTTTTACTATTTAGTGGATGTTTTCTCAAACAAAAAGAATCACAAGTCGTTTTTTTTTTCTTTTTTACTTTTTTTGTCATTAACAATTTTTTTTAGAAAACAGAACTATTTTTGAGAATTCTGATGAATTAAATATCTTGCATTGTACTTATCATATGCAGCAGGTCACAGTGACTTGATGTAAATGTTCATTTATTAAGCTACTAGATTTCATACTGAATGAACTAAAGTACGTGAAGTGCATGACGAGAATTCTTTATTAACAAAGTGATGACATTGCAGCTACATATACTCTACATGAGAAAAGAAAATGAATAAAATTTAAGTATCCAATGCAACCAAATGACCATGTGCTGCAGTCTTCACAGGTCTCAAGTAAAATAGTTTAAAGCCACAAAATTAAGAATAAAAACCAAAGACAGAACATTCAGGTGATGTTAAATCACCTTCATAAAAGTAACTTAAAAAAAACTGAAAGGCATTCAAATCTATTAGTTGCAAAGAATAGTAAACAAAAAGTAGGCAAGCTTGTCCTTATGTTGTTCTCCCAAAAAAGGCTGAACATTTCTAAGATTTTGCATCAATTTTAAAAAGTGGGGTTAAAGAGAAAGAACAAAAATTCAAGAGAAGTCTGCCATGTGAAATATTCCATCCTAGTGTTTGGAATAAAAGGTGCAAAGTTGTTCACAAGAAGATGTAACAAATGAAACACTTACATCTGGCAAGTTCACTGCATTTGACCTAAACAAGCAAGTACCACTCACCTCTCCAAGTGTTAGGTGTAATATGAACATCTTTCCTTCAAATGCTATTTTGTTAATGCTAGTCCTGAAATAAAATGACAAAGGTAAAACTCTTTATATCACATCCTTTTCCCCCTTAATAATACTGCATAATTATTCTATTCTAGATACCCCAAACACTATCAAGCCATTTATCTACTGTTTTAACTTCTAAAATACTAAGTTTGAGTGTGCTAACACACTGTCTACTGGTCATGATATATAAGGGACAAGAAAGCTTTGGTACAGACTTTTCAAGCCCATTGCTTACTACAGTAACTAAGTTATTTTAACATATAACAGGTAACAAAAATGTGTGCAATTAAATGTCTCACTGTCTTCCTCTAAGTCCACATGTCTTTTACTCAAATCACAAGTAAAGGCAGTGATATATGAGAGCGACATGCACCTCCTTACCATTTAAAGAAATGTGTTCTTTTGTTGCCTTGGAATGTGCTGATCCCATGACAAGTAACACCCATGTACATAGGGTTTCCTTTTTGATCCTAAAAACAACAGACACACTTTATTATTGACTTAAATTTAGATCATGTGACAAATTCTAATAACATTTGTCTTACTCTCAATTTTTAATTAGCTTGCTAATAACCAATTTGTAACTGTGCAGAAATAAGGCCCTTTCCACATGGAGTGGATCAGTTTTCTGTACAACTCAAATTTGAGTGTCTGGCAACGTAAAAGTCTGGCTTACGTGTAAGACATTCACCTAAACAGAGATCCTGTGCCCTATGCGACCAGTTTTAAAACTGGATTAATTTTGACTGGTACATAAGGACAGTGAAAGGGAGTAAAGCACCCATACCGTAGTTACATGCTAGGACTAGTCGAACTGGTGCCATACAGAAAACAGTATAACTCCATTTCAAAAAGGCGTAATATTTGAATGAGTTTTTAGAAAAATAAATAGCTTATACAATGTATCAACCATTTAGCATCCTACCTTAACAATGTGTGGGTCTACCCCATATGTCTCAAGAGAGGCAGCTTTTCTCAAAAAGTTAGACTCTGCTTCTGAAGGTACTTGGCCTCTGGAAGTCAAAAGGAGAAATCCATCATATAATTTGGCATGATACTCTACTGATGTACTCAACTGATAATAATGGATGCATCTGCCAAGTGCCAAAATATATTAGTAAATCAAATGTGTAGAACAAGAAGCATTTTAACTGCACGTGTACAAAATTTTGTCTGTAATTTTTCCTATCTGATTGGAAAAGGTTACCCCAAGCACTATTTGCTAATATGCCAAGACACTTAGTTTCCGTAACTTAAATGGGAAATTGGATATTATTCGAATTCCAAAAGCACTGTATGCAGTTTATCATTTGAAGACTAAAAAAAAAAAATTCTTATGACAAAAATTTTGAAATTGTCTCCCTTTCTATTAGGAACTAGTACTTACGTTAGGCCTTTATGCAGCTCTGCAATCCGCTCCTCAATTTTTGGTGTTTGTTTAGGCAGGACCTTGAAGTTGGACACGTAGCCTGGGCCATGGTCCTGGGGATCATAGTCACCAAGTTCAGCTGGAATATCAGGGTGATATATAATACATATAAATGTGAATTCACTTGTATGATAACATCTGTGGAAGTGCAAAGGCGCCAAAAAATATGAAATAAATATTGAACAAAAATATACTGATAAGTGAGAAAATGTAACCTTTTTTTTTAAGTGAGAAAATGTAACCTTTTTTTTTTTTTTTTTGCAAATCTCACTGTTACTCTCATTCTTGTGAAAAAGAAATTACGTTAAGGACATCATTTATAAAGATGCTATAATTGATATGTGCATTGGTGGGGAATTTACACAGGAAAGAGACTGGAAAATATCCAAATGCCTCAGACTGATTTTTTAATATCAAATGTTCATCAGCAAAACAAGTAACCAGATTAATGGAGATCACATGCTGTTTACTCTTAACCTAAACAAACAGTAAAATACAATTGCCTAAGAAATATGCTTTCTTCTCATATATTTTCAAGAAAACAGCCTCCAGAGAAATTATATGACAAGATACTAATGATATTAAAGGGATGATGTGCTCCAGGGTACTGGTGACCTTTTACACATCAGTGCTTTGTGCAACCCGCTAAAGAGAAAAAAGATCAGCTGTTTTGCTACCACAGCTTTGAAAAAAGTCAATGTGCACAGAGCAATCCCATAAAATTCATGTACTCTAATTTGGAGCATCTTTGAAAGAAAAAATCTCATTTATCTCAAAGTTTGGTAGACTCCTTAAATATGTTTTTGTACTGTGATCTACACTGGCTACAGACAGTACAAAAAAGGCAAACATTACTATAAAATTTGCCTTTACAAAATTCACAGATGCCTTTTAAATTGCAATGTTTCACAATCCTTATGTCAATATTTATATCCCACTTTGAACAGGCATTTATATTATACTGAATATAATATATCAAATAAAAATATTTTCCCTTGTTCTGTAATAACAATAATCTAAGTGTTGGAATCTAATGGTTTGCCTCAATGTAAATATTGTGATCATTTTGGTGTGTGTTTGTGTATGTTTGGATATATATATATATATGTGTGTGTGTGAAAATGGTTCACTGTGTAGGCATTGGTCTGAAGAAGATTTTCAAATATTCTTCCACACCAAAAAGGTTCGGCCATGATGTACACGATAAAGAACTTTCTCTTTGCTCTCTGCCTGAAGCAGCTCCTAACATAAGATACACAAAGCTAAAGATCCCCCTCCTATCTAAGAGCAATATTTCAGCCTTGGGAGCAAGTGCATTTCAGCATGTAAATCAATTTGGCACACTAATGATCTAGTGTAACAAAACTAGTTTCAGGGGTGACAGCAGGAAATTAAGCACTGTCTAAACTCAAACAGATGAATATAGCTTAGATGTTCTATGAAACTGAACCCTAATCCCTCAAGTGACTGTCATTTGTAACACTTTATACTTTACTAAATGATCTAGGAAAGGTCCACCCCTCACTTACACTGGACAATATATGCAGCCAGAAGAGTTGCATCACCTGGAGGACACAACAGTCGACCATGGTGGAGGTCACGGCGCAACTGCAGGAACAAGAAATATCTGAAATGTTCAAAATAAAATCTGACAAGCTTTTGACATTTCTTTTTTTGTTGGTCAACGTGTGTGTGTGTGTGTGTGTGTGTGTGTGTGTGTGTGTGTGTGTGTGAAAATAGAAACTGAAGAGCAATTTGCATCCATTCGTTACAACATTAATTAATCAATCCAAATTGTTTTGGGGATGATTTTAATTAAACAAAAATGATTTTAATTAAACAAAAAGTTACACATTAGTCTGTTTAAAACTGTTTATAGGATCACCTGAGTCCGTTTTAAATTGACAGTTTTATAAAGTATTATAGTACAAATTCTTTTATAGATGTCAGTTTACTTATGTAAAACTCCATTATTTAGATGTTCACACAACATAATGCCTTATGAAAAAATGGTATATAATTATTATCTATAAAACCTTTTTTTCTAAATCTATCATCTTCTACAAAATAACTTCATATGCAAATGTATCAATCTGGCATTTAAGTAGATTGATCTTTTACTTTTACCCTGCACTTTAGATCATGTGTCACTTTATTAGTCTGAAAACTATATGTTACATTATGTTGCAGCACATTATGGACAAAGGAATGAAGGAGTGCAATATAATTATTGACCAAAGTGACACATAATACATACTGTCAATACAGACAAGTGTGTGCATAGCAATTATGCCAAAGTTGGCCCATAGTACATGTGCCTTCAGATCAATGAACTAAATCTCTTGGTTTTAATGAATTTCTAATATTCTTGCAGCGTCTCATGACAGGGCTCAGAAAATAACTAGAGATAACTCATTTTGTTGATTGCCTTGGTTTGGGACTATAATAGGCGTGAGAACCCTGCATTTAAAATGGACATTTATTTGTTTCAGATGGATAAATGATAGAAGCTTTAAGACAATCTCAGAGCAACAAAAGGCCATTAATCCCTTCAACCTGAAAGCAATCATTAGCAACCCAAGTGACCCAGCTCTGGAAATACTTGAGATGGCAGACTTTAGACTACAATGATGTGTAGCTCATGGTTTAAAATTTTAACATAGGCCTATTTCAATATTTTAAGATGCATTATGTGTGACAGTTCAGTTGAATGAAAGCTGCATTATTAAGATGCCTTTGATAGCGTGAAGAATTGTGTTCACAATTACTTTATTGAACTGCAATAAAATATATATGTAAATTTAACTTTCACAAGCAAAGTATATCCAATTATCTGCATTATTAAATTTCTTCAAAGTCACTGCATTATTTTAGATGAAGTCTAAGTATTGGANTTATCAAGATGACTTTGATAGCGTGAAGAAGTGTGTTCACAATTACTTTATTGAACTGCAATAAAATATATATGTAAATTTAACTTTCACAAGCAAAGTATATCCAATTATCTGCATTATTAAATTTCTTCAAAGTCACTGCATTATTTTAGATGAAGTCTAAGTATTGGAACTTCATGATGTTCTATTGCGCCTAAGTTGCTTGCCAAAAGAACTGTCACCTACGTACCTTGTAATTTCCTCTTTAAGTTTGTGAGGTTCTGCAGGGTAGAACTTCACTCTAAAACACAGCACCAGAGGACTCACATCTAGAAAATAAATAATGCCATTGTTTTGCTAAGAACCAAATAAAATTATGTTAGAGGAAAGAGGAAAATAATTGAATCCTGATTTATAGAATTTATACCCTTATCTCATTATATTAATATACTCTGATACCAAGTCATGAATGGTTTAATTGAAAATCTATGGTAATACTATTGTCAAAGGACCACAAATTGCGTGTAAAAAAAGAGAAATCTGACAAGCAATAAAATATGGACCCATCATTATTACACTGCATGAAAAATTGTATTCCAAATCTATTCAAGCCAGGCTGTAATCGTGGCATTTGATATTCAGAGTTGGTGATGAATTCATCAAAGGGATTTTCTTTCTTCAAGCTTCAAGGCACTCATATACATATATAAACCATGATGCCACTTCACACCATTAACATGGACACTGATCCACCATATTGCCCTAATAGAGACCATTTTCCAATCCAAATGTGATAACTGAATTGCTGAGAATAAATAATAGTTCCTATCTTTAGTAAAAGAAGGAACAAAACTTTGTTTGCTGTCTTCTCTCAAGCTTGGGTACTCGTCTAGCAATGGGGACATATAATTACAGCCAGCCAACCAGTAAAACTCCCTACCCATTTGCCCAACTGGTCATTTTTGATACAGTGACTTTTTTTATCTCAAAGTTTCTTATAATATTTTTGGGTAATCAGTTCCATAGTTTTCACATAAAATACACACATTTATATTTCGAAAAATATTTATCACTATATTTATAGAACAATGATATAAAAAGATAATTGAAAAAGGGGAAACAATGAAAAACTGACAACACCAAACATAAGGATCTGTCTCAGTGATCGTGTTGCTTTTTGGCATTTAAACATAAAAATGACCGTTTGATAGTGTTTGGTGACCAATGTTCCATTTGGAACAGGACAAACTGAGTGGTTAGAGCAAAAAAGGACTTCCTGTCAGCCCTCCCATTTGTATTTAACTATAATTACTATTTAAATGGCCCACAAAAAAATGATATCTGGAAAAAAAAAGATGTCTGTTGCACAGACATAAAGTGCTTTTCATTACAACATCCAAGTCCTAGTTCAATATATCCTAGTGTAATTCAGTAGATAAGGCAGTCAACATATACACAAAAGCACTTCTTACATCTTTATCTTTACGCTTTTGTAACAAAATAGATCAAAATTGCACAATAGAATTGGATGAACTTTTTTTTCCGAGTATATTGCACTGCCATCTCCAGTTTGGCTCATTATAACTCAGCAATGATATTTTCTTCATCACTTAACCAACAGGTCATAATAACAATTAAATGTTACATGGTCAGGTCGCTGGACAGATACCAATTCCCATTGACCATGGAAGTGTATTATGATTAGCAAAGTCAAAATCTTCTCAACTGAAGACTACCTAGAAATAACTTCAAAGGGCTAGTAATAACTGTAGGAGACAATAAAAGAACATGCACTTACTTTTAAGTTGCTTGTATGCAGGTTTGAGAGGATCTACCCAATGCTGAAATGAATATATACAGGTGTCTCTGTAAACTAACATGCCATATTATTTAGTGAACGAATTCACACACACACGCGCGCGCGCGCGCACACACACACACACACACACACACACACACACACACTCGGACAAAAGTTATCAGTTTTCCTACAGATTACATCACATGCAAGCAGATAATTCCATCATATTGTTAATAGTTTGAAAGCAGAAAATTGTGGGGTTTTGGCAAGAAAAAAAAAGGACATTTCAAAATTCCTGCCTTCCTCAAGGAAGGTTCCAAAATAAGAAATACCTTGTGAATAAACATTTTCTGATGAATTTTTCTTGACTAGTATTTAGAAGTAAGAGTTAATTTCTGGCAATTTAACTTCGTGCTTATATGCAATTACAAGAGCAGGGAACTCAACTTCAATATAACATGCCTTTGCGAGATAAGCTGAAGCTACCTACATCTATCTATAAATAGGAAGATTTAAAGAACAAAAATCCAGTTTATGGCTGCTATAAATGGAAGTGAACTAAAACACAAGCAATGGACTAGTGCTTAAATTGATCAAGCCTGATTGAACTAAAAGTGAACATTTTACTTCACAATTATATTCACCATCATATTTATTTGTCTATGGAACACAGCTTGTTAAATAGTATAATTAAAGCCATAGTTAATTAAAGCATGTGTCATAGCGTACAGTGTTTTACTATGAGAGACATTTTCATCCATTGGTGCGTGTTTCATCATTGGACATCACCCAGTTTCAAATGACTGTTAATCAAAAACCAACCCAAGTGTATGTTATATCAAGAAAAGACATGAATTTTTTATGATTAACCTGATAATGCACATGTTCAGTGCTTTGTCACTGGAGCCACTCCTCTGTTTTACCGTTCACTCTTTGTAAACATTATACCACTTTAATGGCCACCGACAAAGCTTAAACATTCAGTCTCAGATGCAAATTTTGCTGATATTATTCTTCTTAGTTGTGCATTATCATTACAGAAAGATGGAAATGTTTTATATTGGGGAAAGACCTTACGGAGAAGGAAAATACTGCAAAATGCCACCATTTAAATAAGATTTTTCTGTGCACACAATACAACTGCCAACTTAGGATAACTTTCTTATATGTCTGCTAGTAAACATGCTTTATGGGATAACTTCATTATTCTTTTACTATGAGTCAATGTGAAAAATAAATAATAAAAGTTAACTATATACAGCACACAACTCTACTGCAAGAACACACTGAACCAGATGCATTCATATCAAGATAACACATTCTTCGAAATTAAATTAATAATCCCCCACTGAGATAAGTATACAAATTTCTGATATAGACAGGAAGAAGGCAACTAACTATAAATACCCTTTTCAACGAATGAATTATGAGCTTGATACAGAGTCAAGGCATTTTAACTAAGCACTTGATATAATTTTGGAAAACAAAAAAATACGACCTTTCGATCACCTTACCCTCTGCTTGTCTGTGTCCACATATCTTAAACCAAAATAGTCCTTTTCAACTAAATTGAGATGTTTGCACACATGGTCTATGAGCCACTGCCCACTGACATCTCGCTGAAATTGAAAAGAAAAACGATTATAATGACTTTAAACCAGTTAAAGGTCACTGACACTTGGGGCTGATTCCCAGTGACACTACTGGTCTATGTAGATCAATCCAACTCTGCGGAGACTCTGGCTGAATGCAATCAACTTAAATTGATCCAACTCCACGGGTGACTTTTGCAATGCAATTTTTAAATGAGATGCCTCCTGCCTCATGTTAAGAGATTAACACGCCTCCTATTATTTCCACTGTGCTCATAAAATCACCAGTTTTTCCACATTCTTCTCAAAGCCAGGAGGCATCTCATTTAAAAATTGCATTGCAAAAGTCACCCGTGGAGTTGGATCAATTTACATAGACCAATAGTACCACTGTTACTTACTGTTATAATTCAGCAAGGAGAAATAAAGCAGACATTCCAATAGATTTCAATTTTATACCCAAATAAGTGGTAATGCAATAACTGAAAAAAAGTTAAAGTTTAGTTTTTTAGAATAAAAAAAAATGCATTACCTACATTCTGGGCAAAAAATTACCAGCAGAAATATCTGGAAAAACTGGACAATTTCTATACTTAAGTCAGGTTATTCAGTTACTATTAAATACATGAACAAAAAACAATATCTGGTAGACAAAATCAGTGATATGGTTATCATCTTTTGGATTCAAAATAAGATGAATAAGTCCAAGATATATATATATGTTTATTTGGCAGCACTGACAGGGCTGTGAGAAATCAGCAACAGGCAACTTGCATATAAAGACTTAATGTGCCCACCAGTCATTTGAATTACTAGTATGATTTTTTCCAAAGTTTTTGCAAGCAGATATTCTTATCGGCACTCTAATTGCTCTGATATGAAAACAATCTGCACTGTGTGTAAAAAAAGCAAGAACAGAAAGGGAATTACAATGGCTTTTCAAACTTTCTAAAACTGTCTATTTACAATCCAAACAACTACTTTTTAAGACTTTAATTATCGCTGAAACATTATTAGAAACTTCATCATTTCAGCTTCTTATCAAAATAACCAAAGTTTACAAAATTCAGCTCCAACCTTAGAGAAGCAGAATGTATTCTAGGTGAGAAACGTGTCAATAATGGTACCCCGAACACCACGAGACACATGCACACAAGACAGGTAAAGCGGCTCTGCAACATTACCTGAGAGCTACAATTATCATACAAATGCAGTGCGAGGATTGAAAATTACCTGAAAATCCAGCCGCTTGTAGGTATACATACTCTAGTTTTCTTCATGAATGATGATCAATGGTAAATAAAGATGCTACGACTTGAATAATGAATCTCATTAATTTCCAAACTCTCCACCATATGAGAGGATTATTGATCATACTTTCTCGGAACCAGTATAGTCTATTTCTGAACATAATTATTGATGAAAGTCACAATGAGCTTTGGGAGAAATCTGAACAGCTACAAGGTATGATTGCTTTGTATTGACTTTGATGCCAGGAAGTTGATACTTTCATTGATAAATAGAACTTCTTGTAGAAGTTCCAACAAGAGCAATGTTTGGTTGGCTAAAACAACTTATCACAGCTATCCACACTTCAAAGTTGGCTTTCAAACAACACACCTGCTGATTATCCACAGACACTGGCAGAATGCAAGCTGTTTACTTTGCAGCTATCCATCAAAATTGTCTATTCAGACAAATTGATCCAATGCCTCTTACAGCAGTGGGCAAGAGAAGAGTCTTGATTATTTAGCAGGAGAAAAATCTACATATATGTGAATATCTACACAATGCCAATATTACAAATGCCCCTGGCAAGGGAATACAGGTAAAATTAATTATTTGTAAGGCGACCAAGATGGTGTCATGCAAAGATGAATAATTCCCCTGTGAGTCGGTGATGGAGGAATCATTTGCAATAGGGTAATGCAATTATTCTTTAACCTAAAGATTCATTAGAAAAGAACTTGGAAGTGTCACTTATGCATGGTATGATATAATTAATCAACCGGAGGCCATAACACAATGTGTGTCCCATGAAGCCAGTTTAAACAAGTAAATAAAGTACATTTACCAATATTTTAAGATATACTCAATAACCAAGTTTCATAAACTACTGAGAAATGAAATTATCCTACTAATCATTCCACTTCTAATTTATGCAATGACGCTATGATGGAGGGTTCTTATAGTATATACACCATTCATTTCCAATGACTCAACTTCCAGGTATTGCTACAGACTCCCCTCTTTTTTTCAAACTGTGTCAAGATGGCTGACTACCTAATTGGACAGGGGATGGTAACTATGATTATTATTATTTTTTTTTTTTTGCAATATTGATTGAGGCCATTTATCTGCCATTTTATGTTTTGAAAGTTTTAACTGTCCTCAGATAACTTCAACAAGAGGTCAACCATACACTAAGGCTTCGTTCACATGCAATGTCTATTTTCTAAATTCTATTTTCTATTCGCGGTATGTCTTATGATCACGGTCTGTGCACTGAACATCCTGCCGCGTAATTACTGGCAGCGCGAGCCAGTTACTATAAGTTACTATAAGTAACTGGCTCGCCAGTTACTATAAGTTACTATAAGTAACTGGCTCGCGCTACCAGTAATTACGCGGCGGGATATTCAGTGCACAGACCGTGATCATAAGATAGCGCAATAGAAAATAGAATTTAGAAAATAGACATTGCATGTGAACGAAGCCTAAATAAGCATTATAAATCATACTTTGTTTGGCTTAAGTTGGTTGGTTTTTCAGAAGTGAATAACTTGAGGAGGTAACAGGCAAGCAAAAGATTTGACAGCATCTAAACAGTTGACACACTAGGTAAATGCCATTTTATAGTTATATGTGTATTTACATCTTTCATACAGAATGGTATATATAAGATGCTCCATAAAAACAACCTGTTTTACTTTCCATCTCTATTTTGATATAATTAAAATATTTCCAACTTTCTTTCACCAAATTGTTCCATGAGGATGCCCATTTCATTCTTGCAAATTCTGCAGAAATTGGAAACCTTCAAGGTAGATTTTCACTCATCCCCATCTCATCACGTTGCACAGATGTATAAATTTCCTTGGCCACCCTTCTGGCCAGATCTCAATCCACCAGATATCTTCCTATGGGGGCACCTTAAGGAAAGAATCTATGCTAACAATCCACTAACTCACACACTTTGAAGATTAACCTACAAAGAAGAAAAGAACAGTCTGGCTGACATGACTGCAAGAGTCACTGCCAATTTCAATTTTCATGTGGCCGCTGTTATTCAGCAGTAAGGAGCAGGTATAGAGCACACTATCAATTATTGAAATTTGACTACCTTAAGGTTTCCAATTTCTGCAGAATTTGCAAGAATAAACTGGTCACCTTTAAGAAACAATTTGTTGAAAGAAAGTTGGGAATAGCTTAATTACATGCATATCCAAACTGAGATGGAAAGTAAATAGGTCGTTTTTTTATGGACCACCCTGTATATGAAACATCAAACAACTTTCAAAGGACTGCTGACAGATGTATAGATTTTCATGCCACAGGCACTGATCAGCAAGTTTACAGAAAACAGAGAGGGAGAAAGTATGGCTGATTAGAGCTTGACAGACAAGTTCTGAAAAAGAAAAATATTTCTAATTATTAATGTTTTTCTTCTTTTTCTTATTTTGAAAAAAGTGGGAAAATGCACTCAGAAATATATCTCTGTTTGCACATCCATAAATTAACAGACTGATCATATGAAACAAAAATATTTCTAATTAAAAAGTAAAAGATAATCTTAATTACATAGCACCAATAGAGCCTTTCATACTAGCAAGTAAACCACAGTCCAATAAACCCCGATAGGATCATGCCAGCATTCATACTGCTTAGGGCTACAATATTGCCTCTCGTCCCATACTTCCTGTTCATTTATAAGCATGCGTACGTACTATTGTTCTCAGCAAAAAAGTGATCTTATAAACAATATGGTGGGAGTAAAAGGTGCAATGATTTTTTTATGCTATATAAAATATTAAATNGTAAATAGGTCGTTTTTTATGGACCACCCTGTATATGAAACATCAAACAACTTTCAAAGGACTGCTGACAGATGTATAGATTTTCATGCCACAGGCACTGATCAGCAAGTTTACAGAAAACAGAGAGGGAGAAAGTATGGCTGATTAGAGCTTGACAGACAAGTTCTGAAAAAGAAAAATATTTCTAATTATTAATGTTTTTCTTCTTTTTCTTATTTTGAAAAAAGTGGGAAAATGCACTCAGAAATATATCTCTGTTTGTACATCCATAAATTAACAGACTGATCATATGAAACAAAAATATTTCTAATTAAAAAGTAAAATATCTTAATTACATAGCACCAATAGAGCCTTTCATACTAGCAAGTAAACCACAGTCCAATAAACCCCGATAGGATCATGCCAGCATTCATACTGCTTAGGGCTACAATATTGCCTCTCGTCCCATACTTCCTGTTCATTTATAAGCATGCGTACGTACTATTGTTCTCAGCAAAAAAGTGATCTTATAAACAATATGGTGGGAGTAAAAGGTGCAATGATTTTTTATGCTATATAAAATATTAAATTTATTCATAAAAAGAAATATGACAGTACTGTCAGTGTGAATAAATTACAAAATATGATAAATTGCCCACTTGTACATATGCATTCAAAATACAAACACCCAGTCTAAACTGTGTGTTAGTTAAACGCAACAGAACCAAAGTTCTTATCTTGGTTTATTTGGCCTGTGGTCAAGGCCTAGTAGTCTATTCACATTAGAAAAGTTAACCACTGTAAGCTGTGGTCAGGTGTTAACCGCAGTCAAAATTACCAGTGTGAAAGGCCTCTAATGAGACAACCTTTAAGTCAAGTGCTGTACTAGCGCTCCTCTAATGAATGGTACCTGCACATAGTCTTGCTAATTGCCTGGCTTGGTCATCCCAGTATGAAATACCTTAATCCCACCAAAGGGCACTTGTTAAATCATAAGAAAGGTAACAGAAACAAGAATGAACACAATCTGATTTTAACATAAAATGCACATCCACTGAGAACAGATAATCCCAAATATTGAAAATAGCATAGAAGCAGCAGGAATGTGTGAGCAGCATCTTCAAAAATCCTTAACCTTGGTCCTCACTAGTGCTAATACGTTGGGTTTTATTAACCCTCAATATTCAAGATGATAATCAATAGTAGTTCTCAGTGGTATTACATTACGACAACTTTTAAAATGACGGAAAATGAATATATATAATTTTCCTTTCTGTTATAATTCCTTTTAGAAAATCAGATTTTTTTATTATATCCTTTGCAAGCTTACCCTAATACTTATAGGTAATTAACTTTATCAAAGCTACATATAAAACAAATTATAGATGAAACAGTTTATTCATTATGGTGATATTTGTCTCTTTCTGAATACATAACACAGTTTTACAAGAGCGAACAAGTCTATAAATGATTCACTATAAGATCACCAGAAATGAAAGCTATTTATTAAATTTGATCAATTATTTATAGAAACACTCCCAAAGGAAATAATATCATGGTTTGATGACAAAACATACTCTCATAAATTGCAAACATGCATATTGAAACTATTAATAAATGGGAAGAATTAGCTAGATTTGAATCGGTGTGTATCAAAATAATATGGGGCTTTGGAATCTTGGGGGCAATTAGTAATGAGTAAGGTCGCACTAATGCACTGTTCACACTCAAAGTGTAGTGAAAATGGCAGATTCATATCTGAATAGAGACAAAACAAGGTGTCCATCTCTAAATTATTGTTAACTATTCAAAATGTCAGCCTTTATCATGAAGACATCAGAGAATAGACGTTTTGCAAATATAGCCTCAGCAAAGTCTGCAGTACTAATATGTCCAGGTAGCTTCTGTAAGCGGAATCAACCTGGAAGTTATCCCACTGTTGCTCAAGGAGGCATGTTAGTCTGATTGCATTCAGCCAGACTACCCCTTGGAGTTAGGTCGCACAAGCTAGAGCATTTTAACTCATTCTAAACATCTCCTTAATTAGCAAACAGTAAGGATTCCTTATTTTATAATTTTTTTATGTACATGTTATAATGATTCTACTTATTTACTCATATTTTGCAATGAAATAATCCCTCTTCTTGTGGAACCAATATGGAAAACATGCAAATTGAAACTTGTATTGATCTGCACTCAAACAAGCACAGCATCTGTCTAATTTCATTTCCTAAGCATAAGCCAAAGCAAATCTTATTAGGTTCATCATATTATTCTGTGCAGTGACATCTGCACATGCAAGAAGACCATTTCTAAACAACAACTTAAGCTGTTTTCATCTGATTCTAATATGAGTGCATTCAAATTATCCCTCATCTATGGCATTAATACACTATTCATGCAGCTTCCATATGACAATCATGGCCTCAATTTTCATCAAGATCATATAACAAATGAAAAGTCCTGAAGTATTAATGTTTCCCTCAAGTCCTTTTCCAGTCAAATGGTCTAAAATTATCTCTCAAAAACTGTATAAATTCTTTTTTTTTCACAAATTTCACTTAACCCTTTCTTAGTAATGTATTCATTAACAATTTATTTCTTTATCTATCCAATACACTGATTCATTTACTCATTTGTCTTCCCTTTTTTATCATTCATTCAATGCAGAATGCACTTATTCAATTCTAATAAGATAAATAACGATATGATTAAATAATAAATATAAAAGTAGGTAAGCGTTTAAATAAACCGCCTTTTCAGTGGTCATCAGCAGCAAGTGTCTACAATCCAGCCGCCGGCCGGTCAGAGTTCAAGGTTTGTTTACTTTTAAGTACCGGCTAGTGAAGCTACATTTGTATATCCCATGACAAATGAGGAGCATAACTGATTGCTAAGAAAATACCAAGTAAACCTTCATGTGTTTAATTAAATCCACCCACCCGCAAATAGAAGACAAGAATACAAACAAGTCATGAATCATGCACGTCATCTAGTATCACTCACCTGGAAAGTGATATCCAAAGGGTCAGAGTCGTCAAGAAATCTAACCGTGCATTTAAACTCTTGTTGAACATCGCTTTTACTCCCAAATCTTTTGAACATGGTTGTAACGATTCAGAGACGAATTCTTGCAATTTGTACTTGCAAATATCTTCAAATACGTATTAATTCCATCCAGTCTCCTTGGAGGCCGACCTTCCTGCTCAAGATGGACGCCTGACCCGACCTTGAGGCTTACTCTCAAAACGGATAACGGTTCAAGTTACCATTTAGAACTATTTGTGCAATATATTCGATAGACTCTTCGATTTAAAGTTTTTTTTAGACCACAGTTTAAAATTTTCAACATCATAATTTATATAAATTGTACTGAAATCTAATTATTAGACTACATTTTAGTCGAGAGTATTGCTAGCAGATGACGCGAGGCTAGCTCAGCTGATATTGTTTACTGATAAACAGAAGGATAAAGATGATCGTCATCTTGATGGGCGTTTGTGGTTGTGGCAAGTAGGTTTATTGTCATGACATAATACGTTGAAAGTACTGGCAGTGTATATTTTCCTTTTTTTTCAGCTGCAAACATATTTCTCCATTATATAGATCTAGTACTGTTAAACCTAAACACTTTGTTGAGTTCAAGACAAATGTAATTTGGAGTGCAGAATAAAAAAGTTATTTGCCAAATAAGTTAGGGAGGGCCACACAAAATGTAAATCACTGTTATATACTTTTTTTGCCCCCCAACCACTACCACCACCTTGTGCTTTATGTCCAAAGCCTTATTTCCTGATGTAATTTCCTTTTAAAAATTTGGCAAGTGAACTCGAAATAAATAGCAAATATAGTTTCTGATAAGCTTTTTTTTTACGGGAGTGTTTATATTTAAATGGACCAATGGAAATTACTTTTTTTTTTTAGTTTCTGTTAATTTGATGTGTTGTTAATAAATTCATTTCATTATATGACAGATGTGTATCTTTGATTGAATTTATGGATCCATTAACTGATTGTATTCACATTTTAGAACAACCATTGCTCAGTTGCTGTCAGACAAGGTATGTAAGTTAATTTAGACTTCAAGACTTCCATTTCTATTTTTTACCTTAAAATTATTATCAACAGACACTATGGGTCTGGACATTTAGCCATGCATCACCCATGTCTGATGTCATCGTTGTTGTCTGTATGGACTTTCCTGGATTTTTTTTTTTATTGATCCTAAACACCATGTAGCATGAAAAAACAACTTTTAATTATTCTAACTATCATATGAAGTAGTGTAACTTTTATGAAATGGCATTCAAAGAAATTAATAGAATAGATAACCATATAAAACAGAACACTACTTTTAAATGTTCTAATTTATATTTAACTGCAACTAGCTTATGCGTGATGTACAGGTGTACCAGTACCTAGTATACTGCAGATATATAAATATGTGAATATTTATGAGAAGCAGGCTTATGCATGCACGACAAAAAATTGTCACCCAAGGGATAGGGGTAATACGTGCATGCATTATGCTAATGAACCATGTGGAGTGCAGCATTTTGTTCATACAAATAGGATGCATTTTCTTAATGTAACTTTAAATATCTGTGACAGAAACATTTTCTGAATGTCCAGAACAACAGTACTGGGTAGCACTTTAAAAAATTAACAATAAAAAAAATTAGCTGTGATTATTGTCTAGTAATATAATTCCATCAAAAATGACAAAAAGATATTTTGTGTGCCTTCACTGTTTATTGGTTGTTTATAATTTTTATCTGTTTTAATGACATTGCTTCTTTTAGTTTTGCCATTTACGTCTGTCCGTTTGACAGCTTTGCTACCTTGTTTTTCTTTAAGAAACATTCACTGAGCATGCTAGTCGAAGTTTTCTTAACATAATGAATATGTGAGATATCAGCACTGCTAATTAGTTTTTAGTCATAATCCTTTATGTCTCCTCATTAACCCTAGTGAAAATATAAGAAAAAGACAAACACAAACACAAAATGGTGTTTGAAATTTGGCCGATAGCAGCTGCTTTTAATGAAAGGTCCCTCTAGTAAAAGAATAGTGTTAGTTATTATATAGCATTAGATAATGTTAATTTAATTAAAATTACATAATGTTACAGCTTAGGTACACACACTAGATTAAATTTCTAGTATTTTGGCATTGTTTTGTAAGGCTGCATTTGATTTGTCATTTTGGCAACACCATTGAACAAACTTTATTTATAACTTGTATGTTTATTAGGTAGGGTGGCCTATTGCTGAAGCTGATGACTATCACACACCAGAAAACAAAGCCAAAATGGCCAGAGGGATTCCTTTGGAAGATCAGGTACAGTGCTTGTATCGTGTTTCTAGTTGTAAATCTTTGAATAAAAAATTCTTAAAGAATTTAATTATTCAAGGACACCTGTCAGCTAGTCACAAAAAATATTATAAATATATATTACATTTCAGATTTTAAATCTTGACATGTAAAATTTGTTTGCCATGCTGAAGCCAATATTGTTATCATTGTTAATTTTTGAATAAAAAGGTGTCATAATGTTCTCATCTCAGTGATAACTTTATTGTAACGATTGTGGTCTTTTACATATTTTACAGGACAGACTACCATGGCTTCTGGCATTACACCAAGTCATTCAAAGGTCTGTGTGATTTTTCAATTTTGGTCAAGTTGTAAGTGCTTTCATAATGCTAGGATCATGTCGCTACCAATAATACTTGTAGTGAAATGATAGCGGCTATTAGCCATACTGGTTTCAGTGTGGCATGCCTCGTACAAATCCTGAATGCTGAATTCTGATTATTTTTCACAACATGCAATTCAAAGTACTTAACATTATCTAAGATTTAGAATACAGAAGAAGCACAAGAGTAATTTTATTTTGATGTAAACTTAGTTGGCTTTTATTATGAATACTGCTTTTCTTTCTATCATCAATGTCTCTTTTAATGTAAGTTTGAATGTTAATATGCAAACAAAGATCAAAGGTATTTCTCTACAAACATAAAAGTTCTTTCTGTGATCACCATTTATCATTTTATCAATAACCCGTTTCTTTTAGGTGGCTTGATGAAGGTTCATCTGGAATAATTACTTGCTCCTCTCTGAAGAAGATCTACCGGGAAATCATTCTAAATGGTAATGTTGGGGCTGAGGATTTTGCTGAAGATAAAAATCCAAGTAGGATAAATGGAGCAGCATTCCCTCCACAGAATGTCAAATTTGTCTACTTGAAGGGAGATAAAGAAACAATTGCTCAACGAATGCAAATGCGAACTGGACATTTTATGCCTCCCTCATTAGTTGAATCACAATTTCAGACACTTGAGGAGCCAACAGAAGACGAAAACTGCATTATAATGGATATTGCTGAACCCCCAGATAGGATTGTTGAAAAGATTATTCACTCTTTTGACAATATTGGAACGGTAACCTAAAAACAAATTCACAAATGTGCTGTATTTATTCTCGTTGGTACTTTATAAGATATTTACAGTAAACCATTTAAGACTGTTCAGTATTGATCATTACTGAATTGGTCCATTTCAACTCTAAGTTTTCCAGAGACAGCACCATATATACTATACAGTATCAGAGTTGGAGATTCTGTTATCACAACAAGCACAGAAGTTAGAAACGTGGGTGTAATTTTCAACTACAAATGTGACATGACACCACACATTAACAGTGTGTAAATCATATTTTAGTCTTCAACGAATATCTAAGATTCTTCACCTTATTGACAGCAAGCAAACAAGAGCTACTCATCCATGCATTTGTGACTTCTAGACTGAATATATTTCATAATTGTCCTTTGTGCAGTATTCATAAAGTAAAATTAATCAAGGACACAGTGGCAGGTAGTCGCAAAAATATTATAAACACTTGTCATTAATGATTTTAAATCGTGACATGTAAAATTTGTTTTTCAATATCTAGGGAAATAAACTCATATATTGCCAGTCAAAATTCTGTCCGCTTACAGTCAGATTTCAGTAGGGAATGGGCTGTGATAGGTGTGACAGTCTATCTGTTAGTGTTCTTATTCAGTCAGTTGCCCTCCCTCCTTTCCCGAGAAAATAACCATTACTTTCTAAGCCTCTGTAAAGGTTTATTATCTAGTCTGCACTCTGCCTGCCCTGTCCCTGATAGACTAAAAGACAGGAATTTTTTAAAATTTCTTCTAGGATTATTCCAAAAAAACTGTCTGTCAAATCAATATCTTTTATTAACAGTAATTAATGTATTTACATATGATATTAAGATCATAACATGCAGCGATTTAGAGTTTTTTGAAATATTTCAGCAGTGAAGGTGACTTAGTTGTTTTGGATTTCTGTTTAACATGAGAATTTGTGGATATTTTCTGATTCCACTGGGTTAACAAGTCCTTCTGAATATCTGGAGGCAGCTGTGTGAAAACAGATTTGTCAATGTCAGGAGGGACCATGATGTTAAATGTTTTGTCTGTTGTATCAAATGTGCCACTATTGAAATGTAATGTATTATTGTCCTCATTCTCAGCACCAACAGTCAAGTCTTTTTCCCTGCATGTATCTGTGCTTGCTGATTCAACTTCAGTCTTTGTGCCTGGTAACATGTTTCCAGCCTTTCCATTACTGCTATCACAATATTGGGTTGTGTCCGTGGCATTATGGACACTGGCCTTAAGGCTGGAATCAAGAATTTGGGCTTTTAACAAATCTGCATTGGCTAACACTTCTTGTTTCAGTTCTGGAGGTAAAGCATCAAATACAGACCTATCAATGTGATCAGGAAAAGAAACCTCTGTACCTGGCACATCCAATTTCAATCTCTTTGTGTCAACATCATGGTGACGACTTGGCATTTCAGTTCTTTTTTCCTTTCTTTCTGTCCATCTTAAAATTGAACTCCCAGTATTTGATTTACTACACATTTTGCTTTCTTTACCAGGTGGACTGTGAAATGACCGACTTAATGGAGGGTTATGAGGCTGCTGTGACCGCTCATCAAAAGTCTGCTTTTGTCTTTCCTTTAAGTTTGCTATTGTTCCTGTAGAACTGGTATGTGCAGCACTAGTGGAAAAATATGCATTTATTGTACTGGCATATGTTGGTGTTGCATCAAATTTGGTAAAACCAAGGTTGAGCAAAGTTAGGTGGAATGGTTTTTTTGTGTCTATGATCTTGTGGAATAATTCCATGGCAATCTGCAACAGTCTGTCCTTCTTCCTTTCAGAATTATCTGAAAATATATCTCAGAAGTATAAAAAAATCAAAATATCACAAAGCATCGGCGTTTTTGGCATTTTTTCTCAAAAATAGATTGTAGGGAATCAATGTTATAGTCTAGTGAGATTTTTGAAAAAAGGCTCTGCATAAGAGGCAAGGGGCATTTTGGGGTAAAAGTTGGGAACCAGGCTAATTAGCATAATTTTGGGATGCTGATTCCAATTAACCCGGTTCCCAAGCAAAATTTTGCGTTTTTAACGGTCTAATTTGCAAAAAAACAAAATGGCCACCAGATTTCCTATTTTCTGCAATATCTTTGGAACTAGACAGGCAAATATGACAAATGAAGTGCCTTTACCTATATTTTCAGGGTCGAGGAACATTATTAAGATGTTTCTGTTAAAATTAGATTAACGCAATTTTCCTAAATATGCAAATTAGGATCGCCATTACTGAAAAACCGTTTAACTTCTGTATCTCTGTAACTAGGTAAGCAAACATGACAAATGAAGTGTCTACACCTATGTTCTCAGGGTCAGGGAATGTGATAAATCAGATGTCTTGTCTGATGGGTAGCACTGACTTTGTGAATCGTGTCCGAGTAGCACCTTTTATTGTTTCTTCCCTGTATCTGTCAAACACTAGCCAATCTGCTGATAGTTAGAACCTGCCTTCAGAACTGCTCTTACGTGCGTATTATAGCCAAACTACCAAAGGTCACTGCATTGTCAGGCTTTCCCAGTGAAATTGCCAGTGCTTGCCAATCAGTTATAACGCAAGGTGAGCAGAGGCGGATCCAGGATAATTTGAAGGGGGGAGTCCGCGGTTGCAAAGCCTCCCTCCCATGGTTATTGTTCATTAGGCTGCTTTCTCTGAAGCGCGGTTATATTACATAATATGTGGCAGTTTCTCTGAGCAGTCCTCTTTGGCTGGTTACAGAATGCGTATAAAAGGGCAGCAGTTCTGCAGAATAAGTCTATATTTCGGCAACGTCCAGTCAAATAGTTTGATATTTTGCAGACTGTTAGCTGACCTTACGGTATGTGAACTAACAGCAGCAACTTGCCACACTATTGTTGCATTATGCCAGAAGGGACTGAAGCAAACTGCTATTGCCAGACAGCTGCATGTGTCCCAGGGAGCAGTTTCTAACGTCTTACAGAAACACGACCAGACTGGTACATTAACACAGAGACCACGGCCAGGACGGCCTAAAGTCACCACCAGAAGGGAAGACCGCTTGCTGCTGCGGTTATGTCGCAACAACTGGACAAAGACAACTCTTGCTGTAAAAAATGAGTGGCAAATTACCATTCAAAAGCATGTTTCTAGAACTCTAGTGAATGCAAGGCTACTTTTAGTTGGTTACCTCTATTAACAGAGCAACACCAACATCTGCGTCTGTGGTGGACTAGACACCATTTGCGGTTCCAGGCACAGCACTGGGTTCATGTAGATTTTTACAGATGAGGCAGGGTTTGAGTTCTACCACCGTGATGGCTGAACCAGTTAGTAGGCTTTCAGACGAGTTACTGCACGAGGATTGTGTCACACTACAGTGACTTGTGGCCGTGGTGGTATCTGTGTATGGGCCGGTTTCCACGCTGGAGCCAAAACACTATTGGTGGCAATTGATGGAAACCTCAACCAGATAAAATAAAGGGACATTTTAGAGAATACTTGCTTGCAATTTGCAAGAAGGTACTTCCAGGACAACTTCATCCTGCAAGATGACAATGCCTGACCATACCATGCCCATGCAATAACTGCTTTTCTGCAAAACCAAGAGGTAAACCAGTTGCCTTGCCAGACGGAATTCCCCTGACATGAATTCTATAGAAAACCTGTGGGCATAAATCGCTAGCAGAATCAAGAGCTTACCCATCCAGCCTATAAATCGGCACAAGCTTAGGCAAGCTCTGACTAATTCGTGTAACACAATACTGGATCAAACTCTCAGAAACCTCTCTGCATGGATCCCTCGCCGAGTGAGGGCTCTGGTTGCAGCTAGAAGAGGCTNTGGAAAATGAATATATATAATTTTCCTTTCTGTTATAATTTATTTTAGAAAAGATTTTTTTTATTATATCCTTTGCAAGCTTACCCTAATACTTATAGGTAATTAACTATATCAAAGCTACATATAAAACAAATTATAGATGAAACAGTTTATTCATTATGGTGATATTTGTCTCTTTCTGAATACATAACACAGTTTTACAAGAGCGAACAAGTCTATAAATGATTCACTATAAGATCACCAGAAATGAAAGCTATTTATTAAATTTGATCAATTATTTATAGAAACACTCCCAAAGGAAATAATATCATGGTTTGATGACAAACATATTCTCATAAATTGCAAACATGCATATTGAAACTATTAATAAATGGGAAGAATTAGCTAGATTTGAATCGGTGTGTATCAAAATAATATGGGGCTTTGGAATCTTGGGGGCAATTAGTAATGAGTAAGGTCGCACTAATGCACTGTTCACACTCAAAGTGTAGTGAAAATGGCAGATTCATATCTGAATGGAGACAAAATAAGGTGTCCATCTCTAAATTATTGTTAACTATTCAAAATGTCAGCCTTATCATGAAGACATCAGAGAATAGCCTTTTTGCAAATATAGCCTCAGCAAAGTCTGTAGTACTAATATGTCCAGGTAGCTTCTGTAAGTGGAATCAACATGGAAGTTATCCCACTGTTGCTCAAGGAGGCATGTTAGTCTGATTGCATTCAGCCAGACTACCCCTTGGAGTTAGGTCGCACAAGCTAGATCATTATAACTCATTCTAAACATCTCCTTAATTAGCAAACAGTAAGGATTCCTTATTTTTTAATATTTTTTATGTACATGTTATAATGATTCTACTTATTTACTCATATTTTGCAAAGAAATAATCCTTCTTCTTGTGGAACCAATATGGAAAACATGCAAATTGAAACTTGTATTGATCTGCACTCAAACAAGCACAGCATCTGTCTAATTTCATTTCCTAAGCATAAGCCAAAGCAAATCTTATTAGGTTCATCATATTATTCTGTGCAGTGACATCTGCACATGCAAGAAGACCATTTCTAAACAACAACTTAAGCTGTTTTCATCTGATTCTAATATGAGTGCATTCAAATTATCCCTCATCTATGGCATTAATACACTATTCATGCAGCTTCCATATGACAATCATGGCCTCAGTTTTCATCAAGATCATATAACAAATGAAAAGTCCTGAAGTATTAATGTTTCCCTTAAGTCCTTTTCCAGTCATATGGTCTAAAATTATCTCTCAAAAAGTGTATAAATTTTTTTTTTTCACAAATTTCACTTAACCCTATCTTTAGTTATGTGTTTATTGATAATTTATTTCTTTATCTATCCAATCATACAGTGATTCATTTACACATTTGTCTTTCCTTTTTTTATCATTCATTCAATGCAGAATGCACTTATTCAATTCTAATGAAAGATAAATAACGATAAGATTAAATAATAAATATAAAAGTAAGTAAGCGTTTAAATAAACCGCCTTTTCAGTGGTCATCAGCAGCAAGTGTCTACAATCCAGCGCCGGCCGGTCAGAGTTCAAGGTTTGTTTACTTTTAAGTACCGGCTAGTGAAGCTACATTTGTATATTCCATGACAAATGAGGAGCATAATTGATTATTTAGAAAATACCAAGTAAATCTTCATGTGTTCAATTAAATCCACCCACCCGCAAATAGCAGACAAGAATACAAACAAGTCATGAATCATGCACGTCATCTAGTATCACTCACCTGGAAAGTGATATCCAAAGGGTCAGAGTCGTCAAGAAATCTAACCGTGCATTTAAACTCTTGTTGAACATCGCTTTTACTCCCGAATTTTTTGAACATGGTTGTAACGATTCAGAGACGAATTCTTGCAATTTGTACTTGCAAATATCTTCAAATACGTATTAATCCCATCCAGTCTCCTTGGAGGCCGACCTTCCTGCTCAAGATGGACGCCTGACCCGACCTTGAGGCTTACTCTCAAAACGGATAACGGTTCAAGTTACCATTTAGAACTATTTGTGCAATATATTCGATAGACTCTTCGATTTAAAGTTTTTTTAGACCACAGTTTAAAATTTTCAACATCATAATTTATATGAATTGTACTGAAATCTAATTATTAGACTACATTTTAGTCGAGAGTATTGCTAGCAGATGACGCGAGGCTAGCTCAGCTGATATTGTTTACTGATAAAAAGCCGTGAACAGAAGGAGAAAGATGATCGTCATCTTGATGGGCGTTTGTGGTTGTGGCAAGTAGGTTTATTTTCATGACATAATACGTTGAAAGTACTGGCAGTGTATATTTTCCTTTTTTTTTTCAGCTGCAAAAATATTTCTACATTATATAGTACTGTTAAACCTAAACACTTTGTTGAGTTCAAGACAAATGTAATTTGGAGTGCAGAATAAAAAAGTTATTTGCCAAATAAGTTAGGGTGGGCCACACAAAATGTAAATCACCGTTATATACTTTTTCTGACCCCCCACCCCCCCACCACCACTACCACCACCTTGTGCTTTATGTCCAGTGCCTTATGCTGGCCCTTACCTGTTATATTTTCCTGATGTAATTTCCTTTTAAAAAATTGGCAAGTGAACTCGAAATAAATACCAAATATAGTTTCTGATAAGCTTTTTTTTTTACGGGAGTGTTTATATTTAAATGGACCAATGGAAATTACTTTTTTTTTATTAGTTTCTGTTAATTTGATGTGTTGTTAATAAATTCATTTCATTATATGACAGATGTGTATCTTAGGTTGAATTTATGGATCCATTAACTGATTGTATTCACATTTTAGAACAACCATTGCTCAGTTGCTGTCAGAGAAGGTATGTAAGTTAATTTAGACTTCAAGACTTCCATTTCTATTTTTTACCTTAAAATTATTATCAACAGACACTATGGGTCTGGACATTTAGCCATGCATCATCCATGTCTGATGTCACCGTTGTTGTCTGTATGGACTTTCCTGGATTTTTTTTTTATTGATCCTAAACACCATGTAGCATGAAAAAACAACTTTTAATTATTCTAACTATCATAAGTAATAATATAAGTAGTGTAACTTTTATGAAATGGCATTCAAAGAAATTAATAAAATAGATAACCATGTAAAACAAAAAACTACTTTTAATTGTTCTAATTTATATTTAACTGCAACTAGCTTATGCGTGATGTACAGATGTACCAGTACCTAGTATACTGCAGATATATAAATATGTGAATATTTATGAGAAGCAGGCTTATGCATGCACGACAAAAAATTGTCACCCAAGGGATAGGGGTAATACGTGCATGCATTATGCTAATGAACCATGTGAAGTGCAGCATTTTGTTCATACAAATAGGATGCATTTTCTTAATGTAACTTTAAATATCTGTGACAGAAACATTTTCTGAATGTCCAGAACAACAGTACTGGGTAGCACTTTAAAAAATTAACAATAAAAAAATTAGCTGTGATTATTGTCTAGTAATATAATTCCATCAAAAATGACAAAAAGATATTTTGTGTGCCTTCATTGTTTATTGGTTGTTTATAATTTTAATCTGTTTTAATGGCATTGCTTCTTTTAGTTTTGCCATTTACGTCTGTCCATTTGACAGCTTTGCTACCTTGTTTTTCTTTAAGAAACATTCACTGAGCATGCTAGTCGAAGTTTTCTTAACATAATGACTATGTGAAATATCAGCACTGCTAATTAGTTTTTAGTCAATCCTTTATGTCTCCTCATTAACCCTAGTGAAAATATAAGAAAAAGACAAATACGGTGTTCGAAATTTGGCCGATAGCATCTGCTCTTAATGAAAGGTCCCTCTAGTAAAAGAATAGTGTTAGTTATTATATAGCATTAGATAATGTTAATTTAATTAAAATTACGTAATGTTACAGCATAAAAAATAAATATAACACTTCCTTATGTTAGGTACATACACTAGATTAAATTTCTAGTATTTTGGCATTGTTTTGTAAGACTGCATTTGATTTGTCATTTTGGCAACACCATTGAACAAACTTTATTTTTAACTTGTATCTTTATTAGGTAGGGTGGCCTATTGCTGAAGCTGATGACTATCACACATCAGAAAACAAAGCCAAAATGGCCAGAGGGATTCCTTTGGAAGATCAGGTACAGTGCTTGTATCAAGTTTCTAGTTGTAAATTATTTAATAAAAAAATTCTTAAAGAATTTAATTATTCAAGGACACCGTGGCAGCTAGTCACAAAAATATGATAAACATCCATCATTTCAGATTTTAAATCTTGACATGTAAAATTTGCTTGCCACGCTGAAACCAGTATGGTTTTCATTGTTGATTTTTGAATAAAAAGGTTTTATAATGTCCTTATCTCAGTGATTACTTTACTGTAACTACTGTAGTTTTTTACATATTTCACAGGACAGACTACCGTGGCTTCTGGCGTTACACCAAGTCATTCAAAGGTTTGTGTGATTTTTCAATTTTGGTCAAGTTGTAAGTGCTTTCATAATGCTAGGATCATATGTCGCTACCAATAATAATTGTAGTGAAATGATAGCCATACTGGTTTCATTGTGGCTTGCCTCATACAAATCTTGAATTCTGAATTCTGATTATTTTTCACAACATGCAATTCAAAGTATTTAACAGATATCTAAGATTTAAAATACAAATGGAGCACAAAAGTAATTTTATTTTGATACAAACTTAGTTGGCTTTTATTATGAATACTGCTTTTTTTTTTTTCTTTCATCAGTGTCTCATTTGATGCAAACATTTATGCAAATAACGATCAAGGGTACGTGTACTTCTCTACAAACATAAAAAATTCTTTCTGTGATCACCATTTATCAATTTATCAATAACCCGGGTTTTTTAGGTGGCTTGATGAAGGTTCATCTGGAATAATTACTTGCTCCTCTCTGAAGAAGATCTACCGGGAAATCATTCTAAATGGTAATGTTGGGGCTGAGGATTTTGCTGAAGATAAAAATCCAAGTAGGATAAATGGAGCAGCATTCCCTCCACAGAATGTCAAATTTGTCTACTTGAAGGGAGATAAAGAAACAATTGCTCAACGAATGCAAATGCGAACTGGACATTTTATGCCTCCCTCATTAGTTGAATCACAATTTCAGACACTTGAGGAGCCAACAGAAGAAGAAAACTGCATTATAATGGATATTGCTGAATCCCCAGATAGGATTGTTGAAAAGATTATTCACTCTTTTGACAATATTGGAACGGTAACCTAAAAACAAATTCACAAATGTGCTGTATTTATTCTCGTTGGTACTTTATAAGATATTTACAGTAAACCATTTAAGACTGTTCAGTATTGATCATTACTGAATTGGTCCATTTCAACTCTAAGTTTTCCAGAGACAGCACCATATATACTATACAGTATCAGAGTTGGAGATTCTGTTATCACAACAAGCACAGAAGTTAGAAACGTGGGTGTAACTTTCAACTACAAATGTGACATGACACCACACATTAACAGTGTGTAAATCATATTTTAGTCTGCAACGGATATTTAACATTCTTCACCTTATTGACAGCAAGCAAACAAGAGCTACTCATCTATGCATTTGTGACTTCTAGACTGAATATATTTCATAATTGTTCTTTGAGCAGTATTCATAAAGTAAAATTAATCAAGGACACTGTGGCAGCTAGTCACAAAAATATTATAAACACCTGTCATTAATGATTTTAAATCTTGACATGTAAAATTCGTCTTTCAATATCTAGGGAAATAAACTCATATATTGCCAGTCAAAATTCTGTCTGCTTAGAGTCAGATTTCAGTAGGGAATGGGCTGTGATAGGTGTGACAGTCTATCACTTGGTGTTCTTATTCAGTCAGTTGCCCTCCCTCCTTTCCCCAAGATAATAACCATTACTTTCTAAGCCTCTGTAAAGGTTTATCAACTAGTCTGCACTCTGCCTGCCCTGTTCCTGGTAGACTAAAAGACAGGAAATTTTAAAAAAATTTTCCAGGGTTATTCCACAAAAAATCTGTCTGTTAAATCAATATCTTTTATTAACAGTAATGTATTTACATATCACATAAAGATCATAACATACAGCGATTTAGAGTTTCTTGAAATATTTCAGCAATGAAGGTGACTTAGTTGTTTTGGATTTCTGTTTAACATGAGAATTTGTGGATGTTTTCTGATTCCACTGGGTTAACAAGTCCTTTTGAATATCTGGAGGCAGCTGTGTGAAAACAGATTTGTCAATGTCAGGAGGGACCATGATGTTCAATGTTTTGTCTGTTGTATCCAATGTGCCACTATCAAAATGTAATGAATTTTCATCATTTTTCTTGGAAAATGACATTTGACAAGGACTCAAAATTGAACCTTCTATCTCGGCACCAACAGTCAAGTCTTTTTCCATGCATGTATCCTTGGTTGTTGATTCAACTTCAGTCTTTGTGCCTTGTAACATGTTTCCAGCCTTTCCATTATTGCTATCACAATATTGGGTTGTGGCCTTATGGACACTGGCCTTAAGGCTGGAGTCAAGAATTTGGGCTTTTAACAAATCTGCATTGGCTAACACTTCTTGTTTCAGTTCTGGAGGTAAAGCATCAAATACAGACCTATCAATGTGATCAGGAAAAGAAACCTCTGTACTTGGCACATCCAATTTCAATCTCTTTGTGTCAACATCATGGCGATGACTTGGCATTTCAGTTCTTTTTTCCTTTCTTTCCGTCCATCTTAAAATTGAACTCATCCCGGTATTTGATTTACTACACATTTTGATTTCTTTACCAGGTGGACTGTGAAATGACTGACTTAGTGGAGGGTTCTGTGGCTGCTGTGACCGCTCATCAAAAGTCTGCTTTTGTCTTTCCTTTAAGTTTGCTATTGTTCCTGTTGAACGGGTATGTGCAGTACTAGTGGAAAAATATGCATTAATTGTGCTAGCATATGTTGGTGTTGCATCAAATTTGGTAAAACCAAGGTTGAGCAAAGTTAGGTGGAATGGTTTTTTTGTGTCTATGATCTTGTGGAATAATTCCATGGTAATCTGCAACAGTCTGTCCTTCTTCCTTTCCGAATTATCTGAAAATATATCTCAGAAGTTTAAAAAAAATCAAAATATCACAAAGCATCAGCGTTTTTTGCATTTTTTCTCAAAAGTAGATTGTAGGGAATCAATGTTACAAGAAAATTTTTTTCCATGCAGGGAAATAATTAAACAACTTCACTTCTTAATACTCGTTTCATCTTCATCTGGATAGTCTTGTTATTACTGAGCACACAATACGAAGCAATAGTTTTGTTATTACCTAATGCGAAAACATGACTAGGAACTCTGCATTGTCTACTTTCTCTCTTAGACCACTGCCCTTCTTTATCTAATTTTCTGAGGGTTAATCGTATTATTCCAGGTAGTCTTCCATCTTCCTCTAGTCTGTAAGAGAGCAAAGTTGTCAGTAAAATTACACGAGAATTTGTGATTATTTAGTGACTTTAAAAGGACCAGAACACAAGACAATTATATTGTCTTCTTTCTTCCCATTTTCTCAAGAGAGTTGGAACTAATGCATAAATATCTTGTTGTATATGTGGACACCTCTCTGTCTACAGACAAACAAATATACCAAATTTCTAGGTAATAGCAAACTAAACTAATACTAAAAAATTGGGATAAATTCATTAAACATATTCATTAATTTAACTTTCTTAGCATATCATTTGCATAACCCAAACTTTATTCAGAAAACAGCAAAATCAAACCCATAATTTTATTTATTGCTTTCCTTGCCACAACAAATGACTTGTCTCAAATTATCAATTGGATTCGTATAAAACATATTAAATATAATACATACCTTTTTAATAAGTTGTCTAAGAGTCCACCAATTCTATTCTTTACATCCTCCACATCCTGGCATTTTCTGAAGGAATCTTCATCGCTGATGGACTAAAATGGAATGACTGTGCTTTTAAACTACTGACAAAATAAACGTCTTTAAAGAGGGAGTTTCAAATAACATCAGTTGATTGCATTTTGAATGAAATCATTATCAGTATGTAAATGATATTCAAGTACCTAAATTGTGATTTACAGAGAATATATTCTACAAAGCAAATATCATACTTGAGCCTGTCCTGTTGTAACAACAGGGGACTGGTCATTTCCACAAGACAAAAGTTTCATCGTTTGAGCCATGCTGTTTCCAAATTCCCCTGTCAACACAGACTGGTCTACTTCTTGAAGCTGTGATATAGTTTGGATTCCCAGAGATGCAAGTCTCTTTGCGGTAGAGTGACCAATACCTTGAGAAAACATGTTATTTTTACTGTAACTTTGTTGGTTTTAGTTATTTGCCATCTATGTGCATTTATGCTAACAATGTATTTTCTTTTAAAAGCTTACAAAATTTCTTATGAAAAAAGTAAAAACAATGTTATCACATAGGAAGGTCAGTGTATGTTTCACAACACATTTTTGTGGATCCATAAAGAAATTGCTACTGAAACAGATCTGTATTAATTTTTCAAACTGCACAATTATTACAAGATAAAGTTATACCTGGGATTGCTCTGACAGCCTCAAGACTGAGCATTAACTCAAATGTGTGCTCAGGAAAAAGCACAGTTTGCTGGTTAGGCTTATGAGTACCAGCCACAAGTTTGGACAGTAGTTTATTTGAAGCTATTCCAGCACAACATGAGATGCCAAGCTCTTCTTGCAAAGCACTGCGGATATCTGCTGCAATCTGGGTACCAACTGTCAGGCGAGCGTGGCAACCACATGTACAGCTATCTACAAAGAAAACTAGATTGTGTCAGAGGGTAGCCATCACATACTCCTGCAGTTTGCCACATTGTCGAGGGTCCTGCATATCTATGCCAGTACCTGGGAAATTTATTTGAAAATAAATCTGCCTTCATATATGGATATTTAGAAGTATCAGAAACTATATCTCCAGGTGCATTATACCCTGAACAGCTCACGGACATCTCTGAAGATAGGTCTATTAATCCCCAAAGTTTCAACTTCTTCATTCTAATGGTCCAGGAAGAAGCAGCAGAAATAACAAATGCACAGACAGTTCAAAAGTGCATATAGTGTTTGTTTGCAAAAAGTACAAAAGAAAGGAGAAATGCATAACAAGAAAATATTATGAAATGACTCAAATTAATCTTACCAGCACTGTCTTTTTGCCCTTGGCCATAAATGTGGCCTTCTACTTCTTCTTTGATATTTGGGTCATTTAATCTCATTCTCACCATATCACTGACATCCAAGAAGTTCTCATCAAAACCAAGTCGTTCCACTTTAGGTGTGTACTTCAACAGAAAATCTAACAAAAAATAAATAGCAGAATACTACAAATCATAAATGACTATGTACTACCTCTCAAAGCTGACAGCACCATGTTTAACTAGCATTTGCTGTCTTGCACATGAATAACTTGTTATCAACAAAATTTTGTTTACTTCAAAAAATCTGACTATGATTAAATCTGACTAGGGCAAAGTAAGACTCTCTACAAGTCAGTCTAGTTAATAAAACAATTTGGAAGACTTTTTATCTCCAATGTTTTGGATGGGGGGTTCACCAGACATGGTACAGTATTAGTGTGTTTTTAAAGGGGGCAAGTAAACCTTACAGGCTTTTCATATGTACTAATGCAACTTTAAAATACCTAATTCTTGGATTGTGCTTAATACAAATTCATACCATTTTTGAAACATACTTGTTATTTTATATGACATTTCTCTGTAGTGTGTCAGATCCTCCCCGTTGACAAGAACAATATCTGGACACTTCTTCTCAGCATCTTTAACATAACTCAGTTTGGATATACCACGTTCACGTGCTACATAGTTACACGTAACCACTATGTTCTTCTGTTGAATGCCTATAAAATAGAAGTATTTCAATATGAGTGAGCTTTTTAACAGATAGCTTTATTCATGATGTTTTTCTCTACATTAATTGTTGTTGAAAAACATACACCTACTGGTACCTCATTCAACATTACTGAGTACAAGTTTAATGTATTTTTCTGTATACTGTACATACCCAAAGGTTTTGTTCTTAGCTCTGGATTCCTTAACATTTCAACCTGTGCATAAAAACAGTCAATGTCGATGTGAATGATAGTCCTTGCATGATTATCTGGGCAAATACTAAGGGATCCTAAAGAGATAAACACAGCACTTATAATATTAATAACATTAAATAATGTAAAAATAGAAGCCTTCCCCAAAACAGCATAGTACATAACGCCAGTGATAGTTGTCAACAACAGTGACTACATATCATGAACAAGCAAACAACAATGTGGAAAGGTAACAGAAGTTTAACTTTTCCTCAGAACAAAACCTCTGATGGCCCTGCAAACAATTTAACTACACACAATGGCATATTATTATAATAATTTCAATTAGTATTTGTTCAGCAAAAAGAAATAAACCCATTAAAAATTAAATTCTTTAAAAATGTTAGACCATTGTAAGAGATGTTACTAAATAACTGAATCAGACTTTCTTCATTTAAGTAAAAAGTGACTATTATATCCATATAGTTAATACCACATGTACACATATATTTACCAGAACAACTGGGCTTGCTACTGCTGCAAGAGAATGCAGTGTTTCCCCCTCCACTGCCAGCCTCTCCTTCTACTGGGAGGCTCCAATCCTCAGATTCGTCATCAGACATTTTTCCAGCTCTGCATTAAAAGATGGCATAAACTCAGGTTGATAGCTGTAGATATACTGTATTACTTCATTCTTCAATCTAAAATCCCGAGCCCTGGAAAAAAGACAACATCCTGTGTAAACACAAATACTTCCCCGTCTATTCCCCACAAAATGCCAGGGGTAATCCTAGAGAAAAGGCAAAGTCAGTATACATTATGTTGCTATTACCTTCTGGAAATCAGACGTGAAATAAATACCCTACCAAGTACATGGTAGCTTTCCTGCCAACATGCAAGGCCACCGCATGTGTGGTTATTTTTGTTGACATAATTTGTCAAAGTCTCGTTTCTCAAGAGAGCTTTACGAGGTGCGCTGTTTTTCAAATTGAAGCAGTGCGCACTTCCGGGTTAAGAGGTTTGCAAGTTCAATATTTGTTTACTAAGTTTCAAGGAATCATATTCAGAATATTTCTCATAACTACAGAATATACTGCAAGTTTTTTTTTTACTGAAATTGACGCATTAAGACATCAAATATAATTTTATGTTATTTAATTACACCATTCTATGTGAAAATGGCTGTTTTGTTTAAAGACTTTTTAAAAAAGCTTCTAGGGCTGCCCAGTTATAGCTAGCTACGCACGCACGTATCACACACCCCTAAGCACGGTTTCTGACATGGTAAAGAAAGTGCTTACGTGTCAAACTTTGTGCTGAAGAAGCATGTTCTTACCTAGCACAGACAGTACTTATCAGAATCGTCAATATTTTGTGTGGCATGAATTTTCGTGCTAGTTCTTACCAAGCATCTAAGGCTAAAAGTGAGCCAAGCGACAGAGGCAATGGGAACATTCATCATACATTGAATGTAAAGTATAGATGAACAGATTATATTTGTACCTCTAAGCTGTCAAAATAGCCGCTTTAGTAACTAGTGAAAATGGCAAAAGCATGATAAGAGTAGAGCTAGAATAGTGAGTTTCTATACAGTGCTCTCAAACACTCATACAATGACAATAGGCCTAATGTATGTGATCACTGTATTAAATTGATAAATGATAATAATACACTGTACATAAAATTTCCTGTAAATCACAATATTACTCTATAAACATTTTTTTAAAATTGAATCCAATATACATTTGCATACATCAGAGTAAGTTACAGAGACCAATGGAATCAAAATGAGGACAGACCATCAGTAAAAACTGTATATTGGGAATGAGATGAATAGATATATACACAATATAAACCATCACAATTAAAATATAACTTTGCATGGGCTCTGTGCGTGGGACTTTTTCATAGCTTTCAATATAGCAATGTTGCCAAGATTGAAGTTAGGTTCGGTTGATGGATTGTAACCTTTAAAAATATTCTTCCAATAAATTAATATTATTGTGAACATAAACCTTAACTACATGTAGTATGTCTTGTATGTGAGGGCTTTAAAGACTTCCAATGTAGACTTTGTCTAGGATCAATATACATTTAGCACCCAAACCCAATAGAGAGGTGCATTTCATATGTTGAAGTTTCAAAAAATAAAATTGAATGAATTCAAAGTTTTATTCAATTTTTTAAAACGTGTATAGAACAAAAATCCACGATTGTCTCAATTTAAATTCAAATTTTAATTTTACCATGTCTTTTACGTTACGGAAAGAGCCCTAAATAGTAACATATGTTCCAAAAACGTATATTCCGATATATTTTGTAGTGGTTCAGTCATGGTAAATTAGACATGACATCAGGACATTTTTATAAATAAAAAACTATAACTCAAGGGGCTTTGTGTCATGGCTAATACTAGGTAACTTATGTTCCCTAGAAAAATTGTTACAATGTTTCATTATGTTTAAGCACTTGGTGCAAGAGAAAACAATGTTTTCTTTTGCTGACCGAAAAATATATTGTGATTCCATAATAGTTTGACATTTCTTATATAATATTTGGAGCACGATGGGAAAAATAATTTATTTTATGCTTATTTTGCTGTTGGTAGGGTGTATTTTCCCTGTTTTTTTAATATTCAGTGACAAGCAAAGTAAAGTAGCTCTCAGACAATTAATTGCTCCATACAAAAGATTATTATAATTTTTTACAAGGTTATACTTGTAGGAGATAAATCAAAGAACAAAATCCAGTAATGATTGAATTTTCAAAGTGAGTAAAGTTTCAGAGTTGAACGTTTTGTGTTTGTGACAGTAACATATGTTCCTTTTTGGGGATAGAAGTTGAATTATTTTTTATTAATCATGGTTCCTGGGGAGTGAAACTTTGATATGAACTTCTTCACGTGGGACCCTAAAATAATCAGACATAGTTTGAAATCTATGCACTAAATATTTTAAGAGCATGCCTGTGACATCAATTGCACCTCTATATTGGGTTTGGGTGTTAGGTGTGTAGACACACACACATTTTTATTAATTTTCAGCATTCTTAGCCTTAGCCAGTGGTTTATCCACAGCTAAACCTATTTTGATAAAAGGTGGTGTTCAGTTATCTGTGTTATCAACGTGTTAACCCTCATCTCTGCAATGGCCCATATAGATATTCATGCATGTATATGATAGATACCAGTATTATGAAATCGGCTTCCAAGTGTTGTGACCCTTGTTATTTAGATTAAAACTTAGTTACATGTATTGACAATGAGGTCAGTGTGTGGAGACTGCTCTTGATAATTGATAAAATGTGATAATTGTTAATTTAATGTGTAATTCGGTTATTGGGAATAAAGCAAGATATGTGATAGGTAAATTATTCACTCAAAATGTCAGTTAGCCTATTTAACACAGCATTTGGCTAGATGTTAGTAGTGTAAGAAACTAGGTCTAATTTTGTGTTGAGCTATTACCCACTGTGCTTTACAGTGAGGTGAGACTGACTAGCAGCATTGAAGGAAATGACAGCTGTTGACAATGGCCATGCTTGAAATATCAGATATGCAGCTGCTGAATAGTTTGGTGGTAAATTTCCTATCTACACTGTACATGTACCGTGTGGTAGTTAGTGTAGCAGTTCACTGAATCCATTATAATTATATCACTGGGCCTAATAATGAAGAAAGAAAACTGATAGGTGGCATTGGAGACTGTTGTGAACTTGTGACTGTTGTCAGAAACAAAGATTTTGTTTCTACATAATGTTTGCAATCATCAGACTTCTTATTCTAGTTAGAAGTTTGAACAAAAGACTTCATTCTTGGTTCTTTTGGATATTATTTTCATAAGGACTTATTATGTATTTATAAATGATAGAATGTCCACAACCAACATGCTGGGTAGAAGTTTGACTAACTCCTTATACCTACTGCAGTGTTTTGTATATATTTTCAGAAGAATGTGGACATGGTTGAGGATGCCCAGCCATGTAACCTGTACAGAGAGGTTCTGATATTACAGCACCACACAGACATTGTCAGAGCTCTGATCAAGGTAGATGACCACAGGTAACTTGGGTCCATCTATCTTACTTTGAGTTTAAGCTACTTGTCAACTGATTGTTTTCCTGCAAATTAGATGAGACTTACTGAGAGTTAATTGAGATGACGACAATATTTTCCAAATTTGAATTTGTTATAAATTTCCATTTCAGGTGTGTCTCTGCTGGAGATGACTGCACAGCAGCTTTATGGGATATAGAGGTAAGGACATACATAGTACAAGAAAGTATCTGTTTTACACTGACCTATTTTATATCTTTTAAGATATTTGCTGACAAAATACCAGTATCACATTAATTTGTTATTTTATTTCAAATCACTGAACCTTATTATTTTGTTTGACCCGAAAGATATTTTGTTGATTGTTTTTAGCATTTAAAATATAGCATTCCAAAGACCATAAAATGAAGTATCAAAAGGATCGAGATACATAATTTTCTTTCAACCTTAATTTTATCTGCAAACCTGTGACACAAAGCAACATGTAATATTTTCTTGTGCTGATGTTTAGGATGGTCGTAAATTGAATGTTTTCTCTGGACACAAACTCCCTATCAATTGTATACTGCTACTTAAACCAGAGCCAGGAAGTTATGATGATATACTGTTGATTACTGGAGCATCTGATAAACACATCAAGGTAATCCATTATAGTTTGTATATGTTTTTCATATGTGAGTTTGTGTGTGTGTTACAATGGTACTAGAGTAACCCATGCAGGGATGTGATATTTTGATATAATTATGGATTCCATGTTCTTTAATTATCTTAAACTGAGGTATATGTACTACTCTGTTAAACTACTACTCCTGTAAAGATTCAGACCGTATTTTATAAATTTTATAAAAAGGTACATGCACATATCATTAATTGATATATTTTGTAGGATGAAAAAAATCATAGAACTTCACTCTGTTCAAGATTTAATACTTGCAAATTGATACATGTAGGTATGGAACATAGAAACAGGGCAGTGTCTTGAAGATATTACAGAACACAACAGTTCAGTCAAAGTAAGCACAGAGTTTTCTTGTCATCAGAATGAATAAGCTCACTTTTCAGAAAATATTCATCTTGTAGTAACTATTTTCTTGAATATTGTTTTTCATAAGCTCAGGATTTTTTTCTTCACAATTATTTTAAAAGAAAAAAAAAAGAAACGTGAGCTGTTAAAGTATTTTGAAAAATGTGGCATCTTGATTTGTCATGTTTTCAGTGCTTGGCCTCCCTACCAGCATTTGATATCTTTATATCAGGAGGGGAGAAATTGTGTGCGTGGAGCAGGAAGGGAAAACAATTACATCAAGTGGAAAACCCAGGGAAAGGTAACACTTACTGTCGATGGGACTTGTATTGAATTTTCTTTTGGGAATTTTTCTCATCCTTGTATGAAATGGAAACAGTCTAGAGTCTAAAAATAATACATAACATACTTTAGAATAGTGAAATTTGTTAATGGTCATGAGCATGCTGGCAAAGTATAAAACTGTTGGTTATAGATTTTTATGAAACTGGGGATATTTATTTAAAGTGTTTTATGTTCTTTTCAGCCGATATTCAGTTTTTGCTGCCAATCAAGGAGAACAGATTTGTTGCAGCCTGTGAAGAATCATTATGTCAGTAAATAATAAAAATTTTATACAATTATAATGCACTCTTTTTGTATAGCTGGAAGTAATGGCATTTGTTAAAACAGAGGCTTTTAGATTGTTAACAATGTTTGTTTGTGGTTTACCCTTATAACCTCTAATGAAGGTGTCGAGTTAAACATGAATAGGATAGTTGCATTTAAATTTTAAGTGGTTTCCATGCATTTTGTACTCCACTGCAACATAATGTAGTTATGTTGTTGTCAAGAATATTTTTATATTTGCAGATGTTTATACTGTTGAATATTGTGGAGACAGTTGTGAGATCAAGTTTTTCAAACACCTTTTTCGCCAGCACAGGGAGGCCATTGGAAGCCTTATAAATGTACCTGGTAAGTTTTCTTCGTGTCAGAATCATAATATTAGGAAACTGTTGTCTTATCTCACAACATTTTAACTGTGGAACTGTGTTAGGAAAGCAACTGACAGTCAAAGAATGTAAGATGGAAATGGATATATCACTCAAAATGTTGATCAGGCCCCGGTTTCACAAAAAAGTCTAAGGTTTGACCTTACTGAGATTTGGTTGGTTGAGTCAGAATTTTTAGCCTCTTCAGGAGCTGTCAGAACTTTTTGTTTACAACTGAAACTGAACAAATTTTGAAAAGTATATACCTTTTTCAAGATATTCTGTTATAATTTCATTGAATGTTAATGTTAATTTTATTTGAAAATAAAATGGGACATTGTTTCTTTACACTTTTTGACCACAAGATGCCCCATGATGACATCCTGGCATTTTACTGTTACCATGGTCTTGAATAATATTGTATCAAAGTTTAAATGTCCAAATTGTTTGTTTTGCCTCATTTCATTGTTCAAAAAAGATCATTCATGATTCAAAGATGGCATGATCTGCCATGTAGAAGACTTTTCGCCAATCTTTAAAAGAGTTAAGGCTGCTGTTGGCAAAACTAAGATTTTAGATTCTTTGTTGGACATGCTTAGTTGGCTACAGCCTACAAAGCTTTGTTAAGTCAACTAGCTGATAAATGGTAAAAAAAGATTTGGTAGAATTTTTTTGTAAACAGGGGACAAGTTGTGGAAAAAGACATCTTAGAACCAGCAAAATTCCACCATATTTTAAGCAGAAGTAATAGCTTGTTGAATCTCAAGTTAAAGTTATACTTACTTTTTAGATGGATCATTTGCTAGCGGCTCTTTGGATGGCCTGATTGTGCTATGGTCTTCTCATACTTTGTCTGCCATTAGGCAGTTCAACCAGATTAAGGAAGAGAAAGAATTTAGAGGCATAGACAACCACTATCCCTTTAGTATTCAACATATGATCTCACCAGAGAAGGTAAGCTGCTTCAAAAATTATTATTATATTCATGCATAATAAAATATCAAATGTTGAATTAGTAGAAGCAGTAGAGCAATAAATGTACTAAAGCCTTACTGTAACAATTAATAATTTATCTTTAATTTGAAGTCCCATTATTTTTAGGGTTGCATATTTGCTGCGGTTGGAAATAGCATTTATGTTTTTGATATCACAAAAGACCAAGGAAGAATCATTGCCAAGAAGCAGGATGCTCACATGTCCAAGATCAAACACATGGACTTTCTTTATCATGGGTAAAGAGAATTTTTATGGAAATGAAAACAGTGGCATTCTATCACATTTTATGTAGTTAATAACCTGTCATAAATTTTAGGTTAAAAAATTTAAAGTATTAATGTTTTCTATGCCAGTATGTCAGAAAATTGAACTGTTTACATGCATTTAAACCAGCAATAGCTTATTAAATATACATTTTGTTTTACAGCCTGTATCTTGCAACTTGTTCAGAGGATGGTGCTATAAAACTATGGGGTAGAGCCCCTGCAGAAAAGAATGACAAAGACTACTTTATGAACCCTTTAGAGACATTTACTGGCCTGAGGTGACTAGATTTTTCATCGATTTCGGTAAAATTGTAGGATTCCATCTGTAATGACATCACATATCTTTTTAAAAATTCCATAGATGTTACGCTGAGTAAATCTAAAATCATTTTCAAAATTGTTTACTGAAAATGTAGTTAGTTGGTCTCTGATGTGAGAAAAACTGAATTACACATTTTTCATTTGAAATTGAAGTGTTTGAGTAAGTGATTCAAAATATTTATTGTGGCTGATCAATTTTGGTAAATAAACTTTGTGAATTCCCACTTTTGCAGCAGTGATAAAATTAGAAAGTTGAAGAAGTCTGAGACTGTAGAACCATGTCTATTAGGTGAATGTCTTGGACATTCAGGTGCTGTACAGGTACGTGAAATTGAGGTAACCTGAACAAAATTTCAAAATACTATGCTTCTGCTCCTCTAGCTTCCACAAAACAAAGATGAAGAATATAAATATAATCCATTAAATGGCCTTTTCTTTTTAAAAGTCAACAAGGTTAATGGTATGTCCCTGTTTTAAGGTTTTATTGTCTTTTATATCATTACAGATAATGCTTACACTTCATTGTTATTTTATTGTATATTTTTTAGCTGTTTGTTGACTTTGGTGAGGAGGGATTTGTCTCTTGTGGAGGAGATGGTTTACTCATCTTGTGGAAGGCAAGTTTTTAAAACCATTGAATTTGGTAGATGTGTCTTAAATATTGTTTTTATAATAATAATAGTAATTATTATTATAATTCATTGTACATTTTGCAAATGTATTAAAAGAAGAAAAAATTCAATGATGCTTTTTGATTTCAATTTGTTAGGATGGCGTTCTGCAAAATCTAAAGAGGAGCCAGTTTATAGGCGAGATGACCGGTGCTACGCAGTCCTCTTATACATGCAGTACATTAACAGGCCTTTCCAGACCAATATTTACTGGAGACGATGACCAGGCTACTTTAAGAACAGAGGAGTCACCTAGTGATTGACATCAACTCAGGGACATGTCACACACATATGTGACTCTTCCTTTTTTTCACTACCTTAAATGTTTCTACAAATTAGATAGAGACAGATTTGCCTGTATTCAATTTCTTAAAATACAGTACATCACAGAACAGGATGAAACTTCATATTAGAACATTTTAAAAAGCTCAAAGAGTATAGAGATCTATGTCTGATCAGAGGCATTTTTCTGACTTTTCTTTTGCGAAATGAGATGATTTAGACTTTGAAGTATTTATTTTGAATAAAATATAATACTAAATTTTATTAGTATGCAAACATTCTTCTTAACACTTCACATGGTTACATTGTAAAAAATATTGTAAAATATACTTTAAGAAAATGTATGTAATAATGTGTGTGTACAACATTTATAATACAGGTGTGGATTGAATTATATCACTTTTGAATTGAGCAAAATTTACATAATGTATGTTCTTTTTTTGTGAAAATTAAAAAGTCGATTTTTATTTGTATCTGCTTGCTGACTTTGGCTCTGTTCTCACAACTTTTAGATCGATCTATCACCGCGGGGAGTCTCACTAGATTACTGTCAGATAATCCGCCTTAAGTGTCCGTCCCCGCCTACTACAAGCTGCAAGGGGTGATTAACTTTCGTGTCCGCCCGGCTGACAGCTATTTAGCTTGAACCCCCAGGGAGTTAGGTCGATCCAATGTAGGTCGATCTAATCTATGAGAATGGGGTGTTTGTTACACTTCTTAGTAGAAACTGTCAATTTTAAGCATTTTGATTGGTTGCAGTAACTCGTTTTTTTTTTTTTTTTTCAGAATGTAACATTGTTACTGAATTTTTTTTATTGTAGTGAACACACATGGTGAAGTCTCAATTATTTAAACTCAAGCTGAATTATATTGCCACAAAATTTTTAATGAAGCACAGATGTTGTGCCTCTTTAATGCAAAAATTCCAACTGCAAATGGGATGCCACAATAAAGTCGTTATAAAATATTTTAAATAAGAAAGAAATGAATGAAAGTTTTACATGAAGTTTTGTAAAAAAATCAATAAAAAGTTATTTGAAATGCATTCTGGCACATGGAGTACATCAAATAAAATTGACAATTTTACTTCAATACAAGAATTTACAAATGTAAAAAAAATAATAGAAATTGGAGTTGAATATTAGGTTATTGTTGGAACTTTTTTTTTCATTATTTAAAAGCCCTTGCAGTGCAAAATACTGAATCTGATTTTGTCTACCTAAACTAGTAATCATTTGGACATAAAGAATTCTTTGTCTATGTTGTATTGTGAATCATAGTGGATGAATGCAATGTATCACAAAAATACTTTTATATATCTGTCATTCTTTGCTAGTGGTTACAAAATGTTGAATTTGNAGATATATATTTGCAATCCATCAAACTCTTGCCATTAAAAAGTTTAAATGAAGAGCTTATCATAGTTATGACCAAATGCAGTTTTTTTTAGAAAAGAAATGGCAACTGTGCTGCATCCTTTTGCCTAAGCAAGTGATAGTGCTTTGCAACACCGTATTAGGAATATCATGTGTGTGTCGGTAGGAAGGGTATTGCTATTATCTATACATTGTATAGCTTCACTAGATAACAAGGCATAATCCCTTGTGTACGCAAGTTTTTGTATCCTCGCATTTGTTCCAAGGACAATAAAGTAGTGAGAGAGTGCTTCAAGAATTGACATTTTTATTATGCTACCCTCCTTTCGGAGGGCTAGAAAAATTAGTCTATAGACTCATTGTATTGTTCCTCTCCACGGAAATCTTTAGTAAAAGGCGAAAGATTTATACGTGGATGAAGAGAAACCAGAGTAATGGATATTACTTACAATGAAGTCTAAACACTATCACGCCCATAGAATTATGGCAGGAGCAAGTGGTCTCATAACCAGCAATATCAGCATATACAAAAATTCACAAGATTACGATAATGTAATCACATACTACAACTGTGATAGCAAATTAATTTCACATAATTATGATTTTATTTTCATATTATATTATACTATGCATTAGTTCTTATAAGTGGATGAAATATATAAGTATAAGTTGTGTGGATGAGAACAAAAGCATTCAGGCAGGCTGGCACGTCTGTGTGCGTTAATATTGATGATGTAAAGTCAACACCTAATTTAAGCAGGATAACCCAACCAACAAAAAGACATAGATTTGACAGGAAGGAGTCGTAATTTCAGGATGATATTTTCGATAAAATGTATGAAAATGACCGCGTTCACTCGCCCTCACTTTCCCTGCAGGTTGCTCCTATCTTCGCTGATTAAATTGTTTCATACGCCTAAGTTGGAACTGAGCTATGGATGAGCTAAGGGCCTATGGATTATTTTGACCAGCACTTCCATCAATGAGAAACTTCGTTTTAAAAAAGGCTCATTTAGAAGAATAAATTCCCAGCTTGCACCTTTAATGGTTACTATCTTTTGCCCTGGCTTTATTTTACCCTCTACCAGGGTGGCAGATTATATAGGGAAAAAGGGGAAAAGCGAGATAGTAAAACGACCGTCTGTTTATCTAAACTAAAGACATATCTGTGAACAACATGTGAAAAGTCAATCTGGTAGAGGATAGCTTTATCTAATATTAAGTAGTAAATAAAAGTCTTTGGACAAAAAATTAGACAGCTGTTGAATTTTCATTAGAAATAAGAAAAAAGAGGATTAGGTCCGACTATATCGGTCAGGCTACCAAACGCCTCCTATTCACGGACGCGATCCCACCATACTGCTCGACACGGGACCTTTTGGCTGCTGCATTTCTGCCCTGGCCCAGTACGGTCCTCCTTAGTCAACCTGGTCACTCTGGCCTCCGCCGGAGTTACCATATTGATGCCGAGCTTAGTGCGGACACCCGATCAACATAGATAGACGCCAAGCAGAACCCCTGGCCTCAAGCCGTCCACCAACCCAGACCTCCAAGTAGCTAGATTACAGGAGCACGCCACAACTCCCAGTCGAGGGTTCTGGGTAAAATATAAGCTCTTGTTCATAAACCAACCTTCTCGATAGGTGGCAGCAGCATGGTGTAAATATGTAGTGCGTTAAATGTTCAAAGGGACACCTATATTTTCACATGTTATTCAAATAAGGTTGACGACGTCATCTTTCTAAAATTAGACACCACGTTACAGCTTTATTTACTTCCGCCGGCATGTCTTCACTTGCCCGACTGCTTGTGCTTGCTTGCCCAGGGAAGGGCGATCGGAAGGGGCTATATAAGATGCCGAATAGCATGGTTTTGTCAGACAACATTGACCACTCGACTAATACACACGTCGAAACAGCCTCTGAGATAATCAACTGTCGGTCTGAGGAAAAGTCCGCATTTAAGATAAATTCAGGTACTGTACGTACATTTCTTTCAAAATATAATTTCTAGTCATAAAAACTCACTAGCACTACTAATATTTTGTTGTGTTGACTTGACACCCATTTGCTGTAAAGATGTTTTTCATTTTTATACTGTTTCTATTTATTTATTTTTTGAAAAGAATTGGTTAAACAAGTTTTTATAGTATGCTAAGAGAGCCGAGGCTTTATTATTATTATTATTAATGAAAACAGCGTCAAATAACGTCACTTAACTATTATATATATATATATATATATATATATATATATATATATATATATATATATATATATATATATATATATATAATGCTGATACTCGAGATATATAATACATGTACTAGTANCAGGCTTACAAGGAGGTGGTGGCAAGGCGCAAGAGTGACAAGACCTTTATTAGTGGCCCTGCGGTAAAAGGTGTACTGGGGATCGATAAAGAAGTGAGAAAATTCACTTTAGACAGATCTAAATTGCCCGACTTTGATATCTTTGTGCAGAGCACATCCTACAACCGGGCACTCGTCGCCAATACCGAATTTCTGTACGAAATTGACGGAAGCAGTGGTCCGGTGAAACGATCCTTGGCCGGGGCGGCGCTTTACACCGGGGAAGGAGCTTCTTCAGCAACCCCCGCTGCTAAACGCTCTCGTGCAGCCCCAGCCCCGTCTCGCCCAACCGGCGTTCCTGGCGGACCCATTGAGATTGTGTTTTCATTTGACACCACAGGCTCCATGAGCAGCTGTATTATGCAGGTACGCCAGAGCGTCCAGGACATGATCCAGCGACTTATGTCCGACATCCCAAACCTGAAGATTTCAGTGTTCGCTCACGGAGATTACTGCGACGAGGGAGCCTACGGGTATGTTACCAAGTACATCGACTTCACCAATGACGTCGGCAAGCTGTGTCACTTCGTTAACGACGTCGAAGGCACCGGAGGCGGTGACTTTGAAGAGTGCTACGAGCTGGTCCTGCATCAAGTAAGAGAAGAACTATCCTGGAGCCCTGGCTCTCAGAGATCCCTGGTGATGATTGGGGATGCCACTCCTCATCAGCCAAACTACCATTTGAACAAAAAGAGACTGGATTGGAAGGTTGAAACTGACCGCCTCTTTAATGAACTGGTAAGCATTCGCTGATTTTTTACACACTTCCATAATATATATTGTTGAAAATAGAAAATGATATCGATTAAAATAGATAAATAAAGATAACCGAATTTGAGCTATTAACACATTTCTTATAGAGTGGAGACACCCTCAATTATTTATTTATTTATCCTGGGATATCTTGATTATTTACAGGGTGTGAATATTTATGCTGTTCAGTGTTTAAACAATTCCGAGTCAGACAAGTTCTACTCCACACTTGCTGAGAAGACCCATGGTCGCCATTTGAAACTTGATGAATTTTCCAACGTGTTTGACTTCATTATGGCTATTTGCTACAGAGAACACGGGGCAGAGTTCCTAGAGGTAGGAAAAGTGAATTTCTGTAAACTGTTCCAAGTTTTTTTGTTGTTTTTTTTTGTACATATGTGAGAAGTGGTTGTTTTAGACTTGCTTAAAACTATTTTTTTTAGTAAAGTCACTTAAAACAAACAACTGTTTAGTTTGGAACTATGCTGCGATTTAAAACACGAAAAGAATTTCTAGAAGAGATTCTCTAGTTCATAATTTCGTTTCCATTTCTCTAGGCTTACGAGCAGGAGGTTGCCATGCGTCGTGGAGGTTCTGGTATGAACGCAGAACTGCACCGAATGTTTGAAGAACTGAAGGGGGGAGATAGCAGCGACCCGGCTGTCACGTCAACAACGCCCGACACAGCCGCTTCTGCTAAAACTACTAAAAAGAAAGCGACACCTAAAAAGGCAATAACAAAAGGTGCAGCCAAAAAAGGTGCACCTAAGAGAAGTGCAGTAGATGATACCGATGCTCCTGCTAAGGTCGACATGCCTGAGAAGAAATCGACTGCAAAAACAACACCAGTAAGTATATTTTTCAGTAGTCGTTGGTAAATTTTGCTATTTGAAATGTGTTTTTATATTTGAAGTTGAATTAAAATTACTTTCTTTTTGCGTAAAATCGACTTCAGTTTCATAAATTACGTTCATTAAGTTAATCTGATCATTTCTTTAGATTTGCTATCATTTATTCGTGCAGGAGGCTCCCGTGAGAGAGTACCGTGAGCACGTGACCGTCAACAATTTCCTTCTCAAAAACATGAAGTGGTCCCAATGGAAGTTGGCAATGGTGAAGTCCAAACCCAAGGAAAACGTGGACGCTTGGGTGCCAAGACGACAAAAACACGTCGGCTACAGAAATGTTGATCTTTTCCGCGACGACACACAACGCCCCGCCGTGTACGAGGTAGCGGTGCAGCCGAAAGAGCGCGCAAAGAAATACGTCATGTATGTCAGGCACACGGGTGGGTTTACATCTCGCGTTCACTGGGACACTTATATTTTACGTCATCAAAATGTTATCTCGCAACTGGACGGTGTTCTGAACCAGGGCTGCAAAGTGTTCGTACGGCGAGCCTTTGTTCCAAAGAGCGTGAGGGTCGGCAGAAAAAGCTTGAAGGGTGTTGGAGAAATTCGATCTGCTTTGATGGACAGATATAACTACGCCTGGAACAAGCGTCTTCAGGGGAAACGCCACCACAGACAAGCTATCAAATGTGGTGTGACGATTTCAAGTGAGGACTATTAAATTCAAGTGTGTTTACCGATTATTGAGACAATGTACATTGTTCAAATCTGAAGGAAGGCATATGATACAGATATCGACTTTGTTTTACTAATGCTGTGCACAATCATTCTTGAAATTAAAAGGTGGCGTCTACTAGATTATTTCAATGGGTTTCTGTATAGTCCCATATTTAAATGATAATAATTGGATATAGTAAAACGTGAAATTCACGGTTTCTCGTACAATTGAGTGAAACTTTATATCACATCTTTGGTATAACTATATAGATACCAGTATATTTATTTCACATCATTGTAAGATGCATTGTTTTTGCATATATCTGATAATTTATTTTTTGTTGTTATCGATGTTGTTGTATTTCTATGACATATTCGTAGATGTTATTGCTCATATGAAATTTAAAATATGACTTTGTACACAGTATTTTTTACAATAAATATTACGTTTTCATAAAATCTTATGGTATTTTACAAATTTGACTAAACTTTTTACAATTTTGACTTGATGAAGTATTTTGATAATAAATTAACAGAGCTGCTTATTTTTATAAATGTACCGTATAAACAAAGGGGATGTATCATTGACGGGATTCTCATGCTGATGCATCACCTCAAGTGACGATCAACATTGGAAAATTTGCAAACCGAAAACAAATTTTGCGTCGCAAAGCATGCCGCAGAAAAAAAAAACAGATGGGAGGGGGACAAGAAAAAGAGGCGTTGAGAGGTTTTCACCAGCGCCCATAGGGTAAAAATTATGATAGATAATATAGATGTGAATAACTGGCCGGGAGTGAAATTTCGAATAGTTGACCACATACAATACCAGATGATAAAACTATTGAAATAAAGTAAGCTTTGCAAATCTCATTTAATTCCTTTTATGTTCACGATTAATTATATGGAATTGTAGATTACCAATTGAAAGTTGGTATTTATTTACTAAGATCTAAGGCAATATAAATGCTAGTTCTTATCTATTTAATTCAATTGTCCTTTCGAGGTGATGCTTCAAAGTAGAGTTAAGATCTTCGCCAGATAACTAATATGATAACAAGATTATGTCCTGTCTAAATAGTTACTGGTTTCACAAAAAGCGAATAATGATTAACTTGCATCGTATACATTAGGGGGAAGGCTATATATCTCAAAGATGGTACACATTTTCTCTCCGCGAACAAGTATATAGTTCAAAATTGGGAGAACAATCGAGAGGCGGATTTAGGGGGGGTGGCAAGGGAGTCCCGACCCCCTCCCCCCCCCCCCCTTCGATTTCTAAAAAAAAAACAATAGTCCCCTCTTGAAATTAGAATTTTGACTAGCTGAATCATTCTTAACCGTACCAAATGGCACTGTTCGCCCCCTAAAATACCAAAAATTCTCGGAGCCTTCAGCGAACCCCACGCCAAGGGAGGGGGTCGACATCGCATCCGCGGACCCCCCTTCAAATAATCCTGGATCCTGTCATCTGTATGTTTGGATGTTTTATGGTGGCGTTTGACTCGTCGTACAGCAAAGTAAAGTTTCATTAAGTTTGTATCGCAAAGATGTTACTTCACAGTATTTCACTAAAATTATCATATAAGAAAATAATTAAAAAAAAAAAAAAGATTAAAACTCAATCAAAATTTAACAGTTGTTTTCGTATATGTTATATTAGTGTCACTGGCAAGATTGTTATTTCCAACTCACATATATCTCCTTTGTGTTAAAATTGAAATTCACTGTCTGGTGATGCTGATTTCTATATTTACTATACGGTACCGGTACATCGATTTTTAAAGTTCAATATCTAGAGAAGAAAAAAATTACTAACTAATACTAGTTAACAGGAACATTGACGGACGATTCCAGCATGTAAAAGGTACCTATAAAAGTATAAAACAGGTCCAGCAATGATTCATGAGTAGAAGAAAAAATTTTTTAAAAAATATTGCTTCAGTAAATCCCTTTTAGATACAGGTACACCAGATGTCAGCACCAATTATGTAGTCTGCAAGACAATGCATCCTAATTAAACTTCTTGCTTATTGTATTACATTATGTATTTTTATTATGATAGATATTTATATAAGTAAAACGTCTATAGATACTCTTTTCATGTATTGAAAATTACTTTTTATGTCTTTTCATGTTTTCAAACTCGACTTTCACTGTCCTGTTGGCTTTTCTTGGAAATTGTACATTTCTTCCGTCAGGTGCTGCCATCTCAATCATTTCCGGAAGTGCGAAAACTTCCTTCTAGCAGCAACATAATAATAAAGTATTATTGTGTCATTTTAATTTGCAGTCAAAATATTGTGAAATGTCGCGACCAGCAAGACCACCGCCTCCGCCACCCACCCCTAAACCAGGTAAGAATCGTCGATCTGTTAGCCTGGTCGAGTAAATGTACAGAAAATACTCGACGGCGTCTTGGCTTCAGTGCAATTTTATCGATACTTCCTTGTATATCTAGTAGTAATAGCAAGTATAATGACATTTATAAATGAAAAGCACAGCGAATATTAAGTGCTTAACTTTATTTCAGCCGCACCAAGATGTAAATAGTATTTAACTAAGTAGAAATAGTATGATGAGTCATACTCCTTCAGTATCGTAAATTTTAAATCATAAAATAATCTTCAGTAAATGTTATTATAAGCAAAATTAGACATAATTAAGTGTCCAAATCAATTCAGCCCACATAAATAATGTGCAAATTAATTGAATGGTAGTTGATTACAAGATAAATTATCAGAGTGTTTTTCAAGTTTTTTCACCTCAAGTAAGCAAAATTTCTATAAGCCAAACAAGTGTTTTAACAATTGAAGTTAGGATTATACTGTGTTTGCATGATCAGGAGGATCAGTCTGCCAATTAAAAACATTGATGTCTCATAGGTATGTTTTTGTCACAACATCTCTGCATTCAATAAACCTTAATTACATGTACATGTACTTAGTTTATTCTTTATGTCCAGTCACCTGATACAGCTTGTTTGCTGGTAATATTGATAAACAGACTGTGCATAAGTTGGTATTTGGAAAGGTTATTGTAGACACATAGTGACTGCTGTCAGCCCTCCACACACACACACACACACACACACACACTAGCACACACACACTTTTCTGTCATGCCTAGTTGTCTGTCAGTAAATTCCCAGTAAATTCAGTAAATTATCCAAACTCCACATTCCATGATGATATATCATTTATGAATTACTTATTTTTATTTCATGTCAGACTTCTACTTAAGATTTTAAAAGCAATTTGTTTTCATAGTAATTCATGTGTCTTAAATAAACTTAAACATATATGTACTAAGTCTTTTATTTTTTATGTTTCCCTGAATTCAGTTAAGTAATCAATGTCTCTGTATTTCAAAAATATAGTTTTGCAGTTTACTACTACTTGGTTATTTTTATGTGCCTGAAATGACCTAAGTTCTCATTACATTTGAAGGGGCATTAAGTTTCTTATAAAATATTTTTAAAATCTTCAAGTAAGAGCCCATTCTTAATAGAAGATCCAAGGATCTTCTGATCCATGGATCAAATATGGCTGGTCCTACCTAAAAGAAGAGCCGGAAAATTTTGCTGATGGTCTCCCTGCCTCCACTCGCACTGTCATTGCAGAGGCCTAGCAATTAAACTTCAGAGCCACGATTTATTCTATTTAACCATGAGACCATCAGCAGATTTATCGTCTCTTCTTTTATGTAGGCTCGGCCCTATTTGATCTGTGGATCAGAAGACACTCAGATCTTCTATTTTCTGAATTTCCAACAATTTATTTAAATAGCAAGTAGAAAGTAACAACATTACTAAATTAAGAAAAATATTGAAAATCACATGCATAAGCACCCAATTGTATAATGATAGAAATATTTGAGGTTTTAATAAAATACTCTGCAGAATTATCTTTATAATCTCTTTTCTGACAGTAACATATTTTTCTTTAAGGACAAGTGAAAGTGGTGAGAGCAATGTACAGATATGAAGCTCAGCAGGTAGGCAATTTAAAAAAAAAATGCTAAACACTGATGTTTATTCCATACACATTGAAAAATGTTCCAAAAATCTGTCAGAAAAAAAAGCCAAACAAATATAAATTTCTGCTGCAGGTTCTATTAAGTCAGGTTCTTAAGCTTGTTGAGCTTTATGTTTCTATTTATTGACACAATGTCCTAGTAGAAGTAGAATGGTGAATTTCACTTACAGATCATAATCCAGGGACGGATTCAGAGATATTTTCTGACAGTCTTCCAAATTATCTTTGTTTATCCATCCTCCATTTTTGACCGTCTTCCAACAGAAAAAATCAGATACCCGTCAATGTAAACTAGAAAATCTGACCGTCTTCCGGAAGACCCAGAAGACGGCCTAAATCCGCCCCTGTAATCGGTTGTGAGGGTACAAAGTAAAATATAATATGTGATGGGAAGGGATGGGATTTCTGCTTTTGAAATGAGAGAGATTTTTAAACATCTTTGGTACTGCCAAACATTGGAAATATTTTAACCAAATAATTTTTTTGTCGTAAATCACTTCATCAGTGATATATTTGCTCAAATGTTTTAAATTTCAGATAATTTTTTTATCACTTCTCATTTGATGAGGATGAAGTTGCAGTAGATAAACATATAAATCATAATAATGTGAATTTTTCAGACAGATGAGTTGACTTTTGATGAAGGAGACACCCTGTATATTCTTGACATGTCTGATTCTGGTTGGTGGAAAGCAAGATGTGGGGATAAAGAAGGATTAATACCTAGTAACTATGGTATGTGGGCAGGTATTGTGACACCCCAGCACTTCTCTTTATGCTCCATGACCTAGAGCTGTGCTTTAGATGTGTAAATTATCAAGAGGTTACCAATTGTCAGATGAAATTTCATATTAATGTTTTCTTTCTTTCTTTCCAAATGCAAATGTGCACCAGCAGCATGATCTTGTCCCGTCTGGTCACAGCAGCATGATCTTGTCCCGTCTGGTCACAGTTTTCTGTTAGATGGTACAAGATCAGATTTATTACCATAATTATTTTTGATAGTATTCATTTTTATGTACAGACACAGATGTGTCTGTACATATAGCCATCACCTGCGTCTGTCGTCGCCGTCGCCGTCGCCGTCGTCGCCGTGCACTTTTACCGATAACACGATAAGTGGAAAACTGTTTTTTCTTTTGGCTTGAAACTTACAGAACTAATGAATATTCATAATACGCAGGTCAAGTTCGAAAATCAGCATGATCGGGTCACTTATAGGGTATTTATGCTGTTTTTTCACTTTTTTCAGCATAAATGAAGCACCGATAACACGATAAGTGGAAAACTGTTTTACTTTTTGGCTTGAAACTTACAGAACTGATGAATATTCATAATACGCAGGTCAAGTTCGAAAATCAGCGTGATTGGGTCATTTTTAATGAATTTAGGCTATTTTTTCTCTTTTTTCAGCATAAATGCAGCACTGATAACATGATAAGTGGAAAACCATTTTACTTTTTGGCTTGAAACTTACAGAACTGATAAATATTCATAATACGCAGGTCAAGTTCGAAAATCAGCA